GCGCAGACTGTCCGCGCACTGGGGCGTTCACTTGCCACGCTCTGGTCGCGCTTTGGTCGCGCGCTGGGGCGCGCCCTTTGGGCGATTTTTGGAAATTTTCTGGGCTGTTTCTGGGCATCTTCAAAAGCTTCAAACTTAATCTTCAAGGCCTCCTTTTGATTCAAAATCAAAAGCCTAATTCTACCCAAAACCAAGAATTACAATAATTCTAATCCCGAATTAAATTACAAATAATTTATCAATGAATGAACAAAACCAATCCATGGAACCATATAATTAACGACCAAATCCACCAACCATACATTCATCAACATGAATTAAAATAAACATCCATAAATGCAAGTGTCTACCCATCACATACATACATAATTAAATATCACATCTTTAATATATCAATTTTGATTATCAAATAATCGAAGCATAAATTAATATCGTCTATAGACCGCTCTGATACCAATTGTTAGTAACCGAATCGAATTCGGATGCGGAAGCGTGGTGCGGGAGGCGGATCGTGTATAACAAAAATTTTCATAAAACTTTTGAGATACTCTATAGATTATATTAATTTATGCACGAATAAATTAATCACATTAATTTATATGTCAAGAACTCAATTAGGAAAAATACCTTGAGGCCGACTCGAAAGATAACTTGAGTTCTTTGACCACGAACAATCCTTGCTCCAATTTTTGTGTTTTGAAAACCAAAGTCTTCCACGTCAATTCCATGATTCCACGTAGAAGTGTGTGTGGGCACACGTGAGATAAAACACGTTTCAAAAACACTCAAATTTCCACAAACACCAACACATGCACGATGTGGAATTTTTTTGGGAGAAAAAAATTTTCCTCTCTCTTTCTATTGAAAATTTCGGCCACTCTAACAATTAGGGCAGAATAATTGTTTCAAAAATTGTGTTCAATATTTTCTATCATTCTCATATTTAAAGAGTATAAGTCAAACTTCAAAAAGGAATCAAATCTCTATCTCCTATTTAAATTTGAAACAAAAAATCTCGTACACCTTATCCCTTAAGTGGCTGGCCACCCTAGGGTTTTTCATCCCTGTGTGTGGCGCCAATTACACATAAGGAAGGAAGAGAAAATCATCATTTATCTTGCAGTCCAATTTTTAATTCAAATTCAAATTTGAATTTAAGTCAAACTTAAATTAATTTGAATTCTAAATTGAACAACTTATCAAATAAGTTTAAAAGGATAAATTTAAATTATCTTCACAATTCAAATTCAAATTTAAATAATCACATTATTTAAATAATAATTAATTCTCAATTAATTATTTTTTGAGTATTTAATTTTAGAATTTCATAATTCTAAAATTCCCATTTTGTCATTTGTGTCCGGTAGAATTACAAGGACGACGTGGAGACTTATGGACCTATAATCCCGAGCTCTAATAAAATTAATAATTAATTAAACACTTTAATTAATTAATTAATTCTATTAATTCCAATAGTTACTCCACTATAAACTTGGAATTGAACTCTCAAAATTATAGACATTAATTACTTCTAAACTGTGAAGTGTCCATTTGATATAGTCATTACATATAGATCAACTCTACATAAATAATTCATAATTAGAGTCAGGTAGAATCCATTAACCTCTCTAATTATATCTTTATCCTTGAGTACCATTGATTCTCTAATGGATAGTGATTCATAAAACACATTCATGAACCAGAGCGCTCTTACTAATCTAAGTACCGAATCAACACTCAAGAGAGTTATTTATCTACTTCTTTCTCAAAAAGAAATGGATTCCATCTCGTATAATAACATTCTCGGCTACCTATTTCATAATGTCTCCAAAATACAAGGAATTGGATTCAGGGTCTCATAATCCGTACCGAGTAAATCAAAAGACATAAATCCATAAATAGGAGTTTGTTAAGAACTCAGGATTAAGATCATTTTATATATGACTATCGGTAGACTCAATTAGAATTTCTATGCTTAACAGAAATTATTAGAAATTCATATTGTGTCTGTGTCCCTGTTCCACACAATCCCATTATGCTAAATACAGTCATTCAATATCTCACCATATTTACAGTTCGGATAGCACCGTTCCATTCTAAATGGTAATGACATGTATTAATAATGTTTTAATTAAAGATTCCGAACTTTAATTAAATTCATTATGAACAACGTCTTTTATTATTATCCTTAAACATTATCCTCTCGTATATAACACTTATATACAATGTTTAAGGTTACATAAATAATCACGGAATTTTCATTTGATATTCTTAAAATATTCATAAATATATGCACATAAAATAATAAATAAACTCTTTTATTAATTAAATAATAAATATCCTATTACATCTTATGCTTCTAGGACACTATTCCCAACAGATTTTGATTTTTATATAATTTTAACAAAACTAACTTAATAAGTATAAAAATTAAAAAATATTAAAAAAATTCAGGCTATTCGTGCGGGCTCGGACGGCCCGGCCGGGTTCGAGCAGCCACATATAAGCCCTCGGCCTGTTCAAGGGCATTTTCAGGCTCGGGCGGGCGGCCCAAATTTTTCGGGCGGGTCCGGCTCGAGCTCGGGTAAAAACTCGGTATTTTCTGGCGGTCGCGGGCGGCCCATCCAAAGTTCCAACACTAGTTATGTCAGGATATTTTGAAAATTATAAAATAAAATAAATAGTGTTTTGAATATTTAAGTCTTGTTTATTTCGCTAATTAAAGTTTAAAATTTGAGTTTTGTTATAATAAAAAATTATTAAAAATAATTACATTTAATTTTTTTATTATAATAAAAAATTCTCACATAAAATCATATCTTAATTCGTATTAATGAACTAAACGACTCCTAAAAATATTCATTAATATTTTTTAAAATTATACTATGCGCAGCTGAATTTCTTCAGTAAGCACTTTTTTACTTTTTTTTCATTAGAATGGTCTGTTCAGTTCACTCATTTGAGTTTTTAATTCGAGTTGAGATGTGATTTTATGCGATAATTTTTTATTATAATAAAAAAATTAAATGTGACTGATTATAAATTTTTTTTACTATAATAAAATTAAAATCGGTGAAATGTACGGACCTCATTTTGTTATCATTTCGCGGCAGCTACACGTACAGGATTGGACTATGGTCCACGCATGCGGCACACGATCTTTTTTTGTTTCCGATGACGTGGAAAGTCAGAGAGTGAAAAGAGACCAAAAATCCAAAATGCATTTTCTTCGGCTACGCTTCCGAGTTCCGACAACCGCAAATTCACCGACTACCATCTCATAACCATCAATCGTCGGGGAACTACATAAGCTTCAACTAATCAACGGTCCAAAAAATCCACGCTTAACACGCGCGAGTGAGCCTCCACTATTTCTTTTTCGTTTTCTTAATTCAGCGCCAGCCAACACCGCATTTCCAAGCAATTTCCTAGCTAGTGGTAGTAGTCTCTCTCTCTTTTTCTATCGTCTTCTTCTGGTTAGCTGAACCTTGAATGAAACCTGAGAATCTCTAAATCTCTCTCACATGGCGTCCGCAATCGAACACGGTATATTCTCTCTCTCCTCTTTTGTTCAGTTGGATCGATCTTTTCCTTTTTCTTTTTTGGTTGAATTTGAATCCGATACTTGAAGGTTTAGGATGAATATTTTCTCGATAGAAAATCAAAATCGTCTTCATTTTAGTTGAATTTTGATTTAGAACTTAAAAAAAAAAAAAAATTTGGCGGAAAGTTGTATTTTTCTTCTGAAACAAACGGATTTTGGGGATGGAATATGTAGGAGGAGGTGAGAGGGACTTGGAGGCCGCTCTGGTGAGTCCGACGACGCCAAATTCTCTGGCGGAGCCGTCGCCGTCGCCTTCGCCGTCTTCGACGGCGTCGGCGCCGGCGCTGGTGCTGTCTAACTCCGGGAAGAGGATCGACCAGGCCGGGAGGAAGAAGTACGTGAAGCAGGTGACCGGGCGGCACAACGACACCGAGCTCCACCTGGCGGCGCAGCGGGGCGATCTGGCGGCGGTGAAGCAGATTCTCGACGACATCGATTCGCAGATGGTGGGGAGTCTGAGCGGCGCGGAGCTCGATGCGGAGGTGGCGGAGATTAGGGCGGCGGTGGTCAACGAGGTGAACGAGCTGGGAGAGACGGCCTTGTTCACGGCTGCTGACAGGGGACATCTTGATGTCGTCAAGGAATTGCTCAAGTATTCCAACAAAGAGCCTGTTTCAAAGAAGAATCGGTCCGGATTCGATCCGCTTCATATTGCTGCGAACCAAGGCCACCATGGTAATGTTTCTCCACAATTTTGGCTTTGGCAGATTCATTGACTGTGTACTTTAGGAAGTTGATTGTGGTGGAGCGAATTAAATTCCTTTATTTCGGATATGTAGAAAATGAATCAATTTGCTGTGGAGAAAAATGTTGAAAATGCAATTTTTAGTAAATTTGTGATAGAAGTAGAACTAACTGGATGCCAAAGATATGTTGGTGCGGTTGTTCACGTCTGATAGAAGATATGGAGTTAAAGAATGGATAAACGAAACGGCTTTGAAACATAAAACTCATAGTTGTTCTGTTATGGTTTGGAAGTGTGGATATCTACTTTTTTTAAACATGAAACTCTCAAGTTTGTTCTTTTTGGTTTCTCACTAAGCAGTAAGCACAGACGGTGGAATTCAGATTGTCTGTGTTCCTTTAATGTAATAAGATATTGGTAACCGGACAATGAATTCTTCTTTATCATTTTTTCTCTTTTCTAATTTTGATAAATTCTTCAGTATCATGATAATGCTATTATCCGTACACCAATGCTTGAGCAAGATAGATTTATTATGAGTGATACCAGATGTCAACGTAATAAAGGCAAGATGTTATAATAAACTCTTTGGTGTATTTTGGCCTTGATTCTGTAGAACTTGTAAAGCTTATGTGCATTGGTTTACAGTGTAAACTTCTCCATTTGTTGTGTGTTTGGAAAAATGCATAAGCCATATAACAAAAACAACTATAAAATCAGGCTTTTAGGTTTGAAGGTATGACATCATCCGGAAATCATAAAAGGAGAAGAGGTTTTTTACATTTAGATACCTTTGTTATCAGTTAGCATTTTGCTCCTTTTGCTTTTGCACCCTGTTCTTTTGTCAATTCTCAGAACAATCGTTCCCCAATCTGCTAAGGTTATTTAGTTTTGCATCGAATGCATTTCTCCAACGCTAGTTCTAGTTGCAAAACTTTTATTTGTAAATCAATTGTCTTTGCATAGAACTATGTGTATATTCTAATGGTGGTACTAATTCTGTTTCAGCCATCGTCCAAGTACTACTAGATCATGATCCTGGGCTTAGCAAAACAATAGGCCCATCAAACTCAACCCCGCTTATATCTGCAGCTACAAGAGGGCATACTGCCGTTGTTAATGAACTTCTCTCAAAAGATTGTACCTTAGTGGAAATATCCAGGTCCAATGGGAAAAATGCATTGCACTTAGCTGCTAGACAGGGGCATGTAGAAATTGTAAAGGCGTTGCTCGATAAAGATCCACAACTGGCACGGAGGACTGACAAGAAAGGGCAAACTGCATTGCATATGGCTGTTAAAGGGCAGAGCAGTGAGGTGGTTAAATTGCTTCTAGATGCTGATGCTGCCATTGTGATGCTTCCAGACAAATTTGGTAACACAGCGTTACATGTAGCTACGAGGAAAAAGCGTGCAGAGGTACTTTCTTGTTACTTCTAAATTTGAATATTGCACAATATTTTATATCGTGCACTTTGTACAAATGATAGATGCAAAAATGCTCTTATGGTGAGATGCTCTGTAGAAAGTTTTATATTTCTTGTTTTCCCGGAACCAGATGTTTGAATTAAGAATTAGAAATATGCAGAAATTTATGTAAGTATCCCCGTACGGCTTTTAGGATTACATGTTTTGAGTATCGGTACTGAATATTTCTTTTTTCCCTGCAGATAGTCAATGAGTTGTTACTCCTTCCGGATACCAATGTGAATGCCCTGAGCAGGGACCACAAAACGGCTCTTGACATCGCTGAAGAACTCCCTCCTTCCGAAGAATCCACGGATATAAAGGAGTGCCTTGCTCGCTACGGTGCGGTCAGAGCCAATGAACTTAACCAACCAAGGGATGAATTGAGGAAAACAGTTACCCAAATCAAGAAAGATGTTCATACACAGCTTGAGCAAACAAGAAAAACAAACAAAAATGTCGTCAACATCTCCAAAGAACTCAGGAAGCTCCACCGTGAGGGAATTAACAATGCAACCAACTCGGTGACTGTGGTGGCTGTCCTCTTTGCAACAGTTGCCTTCGCAGCTATCTTTACTGTTCCTGGTGGTGATAACGATGACGGAACGGCTGTGGTTGTGAAGAGTCCTTCTTTCAAAATCTTCTTCATCTTTAATGCCATTGCGCTTTTCACTTCTTTGGCTGTTGTGGTTGTCCAGATTACACTGGTTAGGGGTGAGACAAAGGCAGAAAAAAGGGTGGTGGAGGTTATCAACAAGTTGATGTGGCTAGCTTCAGTCTGCACTTCGGTCGCATTCATGGCCTCCTCATATATAGTGGTGGGGCGAAAGCACCGATGGGCTGCAATTCTCGTAACATGTGTTGGGGGATTGATTATGGCTGCCGTTCTTGGCACCATGACTTACTACGTGGTGAAGTCGAAGAGGAACCGATCTATGAGAAAGAGGGAAAAGTCTGCAAAGAGAAGCGGGTCCAACTCATGGCATCACTCTGACTTCTCCAATTCAGAAATTGATCGGATTTATGCCCTTTGATATTTGATATGTGAATCTTGTACCTTAAAAGGAAACTTGAAGGACCGGTAAGAGACCGGAAAATGGATGTTGAACAGGTGCACACGCCATTGATATATTATTATTACATAATAGCCATGGAGTTAAATTAAGGCCGTTACAAATGTGAATTGTCTGTGCATTTCATCAAATATTATTTGCTCCTCCATCTCAAGTAATTAAGCCCCAAAACTCAGGATTATAGCTTTTCTGAACTACCAATCTCTGTGTTTCAATGGAGAAGAGGGATAAGGGGTAGGAATTCTGACGTTGCGGTTCAATCTGGATTAACCTAAAAACGAAGCAAAGACGGTAGTTTATGAGATGGAGATCACGCTACAATCATCTTTTTAGCCAAATGTATATTTATGCGTGGCTTTTGTCATTTGTGCTGGAGAAAAACTGTATCTTGCTAATAAATTTTTCCAAAAAACCCAACTCAAACGGAATTTCATCGAAAAAGCAATTACGAGCTATTCATGCTTGATGAGTTACTAAAAAAAAAAAAAGCCATAAGATTAGACTTCAAAGCTTACGGGGTGTGAGAATTTGAGGCTTCCCACATTATTCCGTCAGTTCATTTTATTTATTTATTATTTTATTTTTTTAGCAACTTCACAAGGTCCATTTGCTTCAGCTTTCTTTCTAACTTTTTTTGCCAACAAATCAAGCTGTTTTATTTCGCTTCAGCGTCTGCAAAGTGAAGAGCATGTTTTTGCTGGAGTACCTGGCATGATGGCAAATTCGGACTTATTTGAGCAAAATCCAAGCTTTATGGATTTGATTCTATGATTCTCCGTATGGAATAGAAAGTTAAATTGATAAGTAGGAAAATCGTATTCTAAATTTGGCTTCTGCATTTATTTTGTTGAATTCTTCTTTTCAATCAGAGAAAAATAAGGGCATCCAGTCATGACATAGGTAGTGGAACAACCAATGGTTTTCTTTCTTTTCCTCCTATAATAGTTCAAGGTTTGATATTCTAGAGTCACTGTCGATGGACCATGCAGCCCTGACTTGTTGCGGTGTGAGTGACATTAAACACATCCTTTGAGTAGATCATTTGGCCATGCAGTTTTGTTTTTGTTTTTGTTTTTTTTTAACCCGTGAAAAAATATTGAAAGAAGTGGATGTTTTGACGACAAAAGGAAGCTCTTTTTACTGGGTTAGTTCAGTTTAACTCAATTTGAATAATGAGTACAGTTTAAATTGGTGTTTAATAAACATGTAATTTGAATTATATTTCTCGTTTGAATTGAGTTAAACAGTCTAACTTAAAGTTTAGCTCCTCTCAAATTTAACCATTCAAACTATTTTTGGACAATAAAAAGGTACACTATTTTTGCTTTTCATACCTTCTAAACACAAATTTAAATTTTATTTCATGTTCAAATTAAAACTTTAACTGTACGTCTAAACGTCAATTCAAACTACAATTTAAACCATACAATTTAAATTTTTCTGTTTAAATTAAAAAATTTAAATCAATAAAATTCAAACCAACGAATCACGAAATATGTTTTGTCCAGGCTTTATTCAACGAAAGAGAAAAAAGTTTGTTTAAATAATTTTCCTTGCAAAACAACACCAGACCATCCAGGTTACCACTTTCGGCTAAATCTCGAGTTATGTTCCAACTCGCTCATTGTTGTTACCCATCGGCCGTTACCCTTCATTTGCCGTCCAAAACAACCAGGAAAGGAGCCAACATTTTAAATGTTGTTGATAACATTTGTCGTTTATCTGTTTTCTATCTTTTTTATTTGCCTGTAGGCTGTAGTTTTCCTTTTCCTGTTGTCGTTTTTACGTCCTTGTAGTTTTTGCACTTTTTGACTTTGTTCATTTGTTGTCGTTTCTGTATGCCGTCAACTCCCATTTTCCTTGTCGCTTCTTGCATTCTCGTTTCTCACATCTCTGTCAATTTTTCTGGTTTTTCCTTTATTATTTTCGTCGTAGGTTAAATTTTTTTTTTTTAATTTTGTTTATTCATTTTGTTCTCATTTGGTTACCGCTTTGTGTTGTCCTTTAACATTTTCTGGTCGTTTTGTTAGCTCATTTTGTCAATGTTTGCCTCTTGTCGTTTTTGTGCATACTCGGCTACTTCCTTTTCTATCGTTGTCGTTTCTGATTCACGTTGCTGTCATTCGCTTTGTCGTCGTTTTTTCTTCTGTTCATTTCCTTTGTCTTTAGTCCTTCTGATGACGTTTTTCCGTTTTTTTCCTCTTTTTTATCCCGTTTTCTCGTTTTGTCTTGTTTTTCCTTGCGCGTTGATTATTACTTCTATTGTCGTTTATTTCTTTCATTGTGTTTTTTTTTTACTCTAATCACTATTTCTGCTTGTCGGCAAATAGCCGAAAAGTATATGAAGTCTTAAAAATTTCAAGTGTAATAGTTCAAAATGTTACAAGTAGAAAATCGAGTTCACCAAAAAATCGCCATAACAAACACGTTGTTGGGCAGTTACGAGTTAAAAACTTTTTTATAAACTGCCAATGGCAAAAGCTCATTAATCCACCAACCGCCCAATGTGCGTCACTGCTTCTAACTCGCACAAAAAACATAATAAAATGGCCTATGGGCGACTAGTGCTTAAAATAATAATACTGTTTAAATCTGGTGTCCCAAATAATTTCTAATTAATCATATTAATATTTAATTAAAATTTTTAAAATGTTATTAATTGATTCTTTACGCGGGTTTCTATCTTAGTGGACTAAATGATAATGATAATATGTAATCTGTAGAGCACACAAAAAAATTGGACAATACATCTGAATGTCCCAAACTTGCATTATAAACATTTATCAAAAGAAACTTCCCAAGCGTTTTTCGCAACTTACTAATATCTCGTGAAGATGACAAAATTTATTATTACAAGTTTCTTAAATAAAGAGAAATTGTACGCAATATAATGATTAAGGAGACACAATAATGGCAAGTGAATTGACACTTCTATCATGATTTTCTGATCTCTTGAAAGCGAAACACCATTCGTGTTAAATAAAAAAGTCTCTTGATTTTTTAAGACATTTTTGAGAGATTTTTATTTTTGTAAAAAGACAAGTTGATGCAAGGCCTACCTTGTCGTTTCTTTCTGGTTGAAATTCATAGAATTTAGGTGAAAAAAGGCTTTTGTCGTTTAATTAGTGCTTATCTTTACATTGTTAGTGCTCAACAACATCAAATTAGCCTTTTAAACCTGCTTTCTTTGGCTCTAATCTTGTCAAATTTCTGGCTGACATCTTCACTTAGTTTAAGGTTTAGTACACCCACTACGGAAATTAAAATAATAAAAATAAACAAATGCCTAAAAGGAACAGAGCCACCTGAAAAGGCTTTCTGTCTGCTCTTTATTAAGATCTCTAATATACTTTTTCCTTTCATTGTTTGTTTCGTTGTTTAATCTTCAATCGACTAAGTAGGATTATTATTGCATAGTGTATCCATCAGGCGTGCATAGTAGACGCATGCTTCTTTCCCTCTTTTAATCAATGAATAAATGAATGATCTTTCTCCACATTAATAAAATTAGATTTTTAATAAGTCACGTCTTTAAATTTCTATATTTTATAGTAATACGGATAGAAACGTAACCATTAAAAACTTATTCATACATATATATGTGGTTTTAACGGTTACTCTATTATTTACGCATCGATCATTATCAATTTTGACCATAAAATATTAATCCGATAATTGTAAAAATTAAATAATTGACTAAAAAAATTATAAAAATTAATGAAATTAAATTTTTATCACGACATAACACGTCATTAAATTTCTATATTAGATGTCATTAAATTTCTATAATAGATGTTAAGTACGGATAGAAACGTAACTATTAGAAGCTCTTCCATATATATATAAAATATTCACACACGCAGAGCTTCAAAAATATTTGATGATAAACTACCGTACTTTCATAAATACTCACATATTTTTTTCTTAATAAAAAATAACTAATTATTAACCATATTCACCCGTACTTCTATTAAATAATTATATGATAGGGTACTAATCATTGACCATATTTTTTATTTAGGATATAATTTTCTAAATAGTATTACTCATACTTTCATTGATGACTTTTTTTTTCATACTTTTATTGATGATTATGTGATCGGTATTTGTTCAGGACTTTGATCAACTTAGTGAGAGTAAGGAGCCAGCTCAATGTGTGCACAACTCATCATTAGAAATAGCCTTTGTGTTAAGAAGTTTGTTAAGACAACTTGCTTTAGCTGATGTATCATGCTTGAACTAAACATATGGAGATAGATGTACATTTTTATGAAATAAGAATTTAAGTTTCTCATTCATTTTAAGTTCTTAAACTCAAATTTAAATTAATGAACAGTATTTTTTCTATTCTTAAAAACATCATAACTTTTTGGTTTTAATTCCGATTGAGAAGATTTTTTTTCTTTGCGTTCACAATGAAGAGACGAATAAAACTCCACTCATGTATCCTATTAAAATTTTTCATCACCATTGAGTTTTATTAAAATACTATCTAAATACAAATTCAAGTTTTGACCCACTCAAACACAAACTCAAATAGATTCTCAATTCAAATTATAACTCAAATGTGCACATCCAAATACAAACTCAAGTTACAACTTCAACTCAAATTATAACTCAAATTCAACTTAAGATGTACACTCAAGCCCAAAGTGTTGCAAAAGGAGTAGATCCGTTTAGTTCGCTGATTCAAGTTTTTAATTCGAGTTGAGATGTGATTTTATGTGAGAGCTTTTCACTGCAGTAAAAAAGTTAGATGTAACTGTTTCTGAGAACTTTTTATTATAACAAAACTTAAATTCTAAACTTAAATTAGTGAAATGAATAGAAATATGATTTCTGAGGATGCGTGACAAACTCAAGGTGGTAGAATCTCCCTTTCGTTTGAGAGGCCGTGTTGAGGACTTTGATAAACTTGGTCAGAGTAAGGAGCCAGCTCAGCATGTGTGTACAACTCACCTATGTGTTAAGAAGTTTGTTAGGACAAGTTGATTTAGCTAAGGTAATAATTAGTTACAGATGCAGATTTTACGGATGATTAGTTAAGCTTTAGCTATGTAAATTAAGCAGCATAAATACAAGTTTCTCTCTATCATATAGTTAGTTACTGAGAGTTTCAAAAATTTTCTTATTCATTTTCCTTTTAGCCAAACAACTAATTTTGTCTGTATTGAATATCTCTACGCCATTAGATTAACCTATTGCTTAATTTTAACACGAGTAATCCTAAAAGAAAAACAAAATCTAACACGAGTATAGTACAATTTGAAATTTTATAAAAGTATCCCTTAGTAGTTATTTACTATCATGAAATCCTATTTTGCAATAAGTGAAAAAATGTGTTGTTTGTGTCAAGTCAATAATCTTTCTTTCTTGCTCATTTATCCAATGCAGACGAGCGTCTCTCAGTTGCTCTAAAGGGGCACGATTAAACTCGTCATTCGATGATTGGCCAAGACATAATCATAATGATCTTTGCCTAGTCTAATCTTACTTTGCCGTATTTACGAAACAATGTCGGCTTATTGAATTCAAAAGCTTTGACATTATAGTACCTAAACAATGCAAACATAGTCAGACCGGTAATCACGGAACAAATTATTATTATTATTTTTTGTTTTTTCATTATTCAGGAAGAAAATAGAACTGTATCTTATATGAGTTATCTATGAATCTCTGTTATGTAAATAACTTAAACTCTTTCGTGTTATTAATGGAGTGGTACAAAGTGTTGAGATTTTATGTGATTGATTGGCAACAATTCTAGTAATTAACGTTTAATGATTCTTTCTATTTTTGGAGATTTTCTAGCTGCATATTTGGTGTGAAAAATCAATTAGCTTCATTGGAGATTTTTCTTAATTTATTTCTTATTTTCAAGTCAAAAATATCCTTTTTCTTTTCCTTTCCTATTTTAGTATGAGATCAAGTCTTAATACTATATGGCTATATTTAAGGTCCTTGTCCGATCAATAAATTTTGTGGTGCTTGGTTTTTGGTGTTGAGAGAGTAAAATTAAGTTAAGTTCTCTCAGTTTCATAATGGGGTCTCATATTCCCGATATAGACAAATAGGACGGGGAAGAATGAAACGAATAATTTATTTATTTTTTGGCTGAGAAAAAAGAAAACTTTAATCCTTTCATTTGAATTAGGCCCTCTTTGTTCTATTAGCAGACTGAAATTTCTTCTATAGCTAAATAGGACGCTAATGATAACTATATTTTTTTTTTCTCAGCAAAAAAACTTTAAATACTTTTATTTGATGCAATTGGTCATGATAATTCTCTCTACATAACTAAGAAACATTTGGTTGTTAACAATTAGAACTTGACCCACTTCCATTTTGACCTATTAAAATGGAAAATAAACAACCTGCTGATTCTTGAACTCTATTCCAGCGACGATCCCTACGAATAATCATACATATAATTTTGAAAGTATTTATGTTTATTGTTTCTGAAAACATAATTAGAATATGTTTAAAATATGTTTCTAACGTATTTGGCATCATTAAAGAGTCCAAGGTCTATATCAAAAGTTGTAGAATCATTGGACAAAATTTAGGACGTTGTAGGCAAAGCAGTTGGAGAAGAAAGAAGAGAGGGGGAAAAAAAACAAAAAACAAAAAGAAGACCAAACTTTTACCAAAATAAGTTAACTAATGATGTAAATTATATGATCAGTTAATGATGTACAAGACATAAATCAGTTGAAAATATTGAGTTCTTGATATGAAAGTTCTGATTTCTTTAGAGAAAAATCTCATTTGGAGATGCTTTGCTTTGACGTTTAGGAGAAGCCATGCAGAGTTCTGAAACTTGTACATTGCACTGACTCAAAGCATAAACTTTTTATGAAAGACCACAAAGACACAAAACTAGAAAGGAAAAAAAAATCATGATCAAGTCAAAAAAGTTTGTACTTGGCTCTTGTTTTTCTCCCTCTTTGTTTCTCTCTCTCTCTCTCTCAGCCTCTGCAAAGGTCTGGTTTTTCTTGTTCCTCACAAACACCAATTCTTGAAGCTGCCATTGAACATAACCCAACTTCACGTGAAGCCTTTCTTTGACAAAACAGCTGCTGAGACTGCTTGCAATGAGCAATAGCTCCTTGAATCGAGTTCTCAATCTCCGAATAGTTTGCGCTTCCACATCTCTTGAAGTACTTTGATTCATGAACACCATTTGAATTGTTTGAACTTGAAGAAGAAGAAGAGGAAGAAGAGAAACCGGATGATATTGATGATGAAGAAGATGAAGGCTTATTTGCTGAATGTCTGCTAAGAGCCAGTGAGAATGATCTCCTGTGGCGACCGGAGTCAACAATCTTTTCTTTGGTGTTTGGTGTTTGGTGTTCGTCTCTTTGAATTTGCCCAAATGGATTCTTCTTGTTATCTTTTTTCACAAATCTCCTAGAACTCTCCTGTGATTTCAGAGCTGAACCTTCATCCGCGACTTTCCTAGCTGCCGTGCTTGACTCGTCCGAGCAACCAGATTTACCAAACAAGGACTTGAGATAAGCCCTTGAAGCCTTGAGCTTTGACCCAAGTGAGGACTGCTTTAGCTTCTTTGCCAAAGACTTCTTGGGGTTTTCTCCATTGATGAAGCCACTAAATTCTGTTGAGTATTCATACATGTACTCTTCAGGGTTTATCTCTCTGCTGATCCTAAAAGACTCCGAGGGCGAGATATTGCACGACTCATATGGGGTACTAGTTGCAGTTGGTGTTGGAGCCGTCGTCATTAGTGGGGTGCTGAAGAATTCATGATCAAAAGTGTTTTCATCTCTTATATGATCAAATGAAGAGATGTTGGAGTTTTGAAGTAGTTTTTCGACCATTTGTAAGCGCGGTGGAAGGTGAAGCGGAAGGAGTTTCCCTTTGTAGAAGAGCTCATCCGCCGGAGAAGTTGTTGGCTCTCTCTCTCTTGTTGTGTTTGACATTTGAAACTCAAACTCTCTTGGGTTATGTGGAGGAGGAGAAGAAGAGGTCGCGGAGTTGTTGCAGAAGAAGTTCGAGTACGAACTAACTTCCATGTCTATGTAGTCTTCTTCTGAATGGTCAGGTGATAAGAGGTCTAAAGCCATTATTAAATTGTAAATTGTGGTTTCTTGTTTAAGATGGTGATCTTCTTCTAGTTGTTAAGAAGGCTAGAGCTTTGTTGAGGCTTGAAGGGAAGTGCAAAGCTTTATAAAAGGGAGGAAGATGTGTTTAGTAGGGCAATTTTTTAGGAAATATCTAAATGGTTGTTACTTCTCTTTCACATAGCTCTATTTTTTGTGGCTTGTTTTCTATTTGCCGTTCTTTAATAACATAATTAATAAATTTGTAGCTCTAGTTTGTTTCTAGGATCGTTTGTAAAGAAACCAATATTTTTTTCAGTCTTATTTGAAAAAAAGCTATGTATGATAGGGACAGGAAGAGGTAGAGGAGAAAGAGAATCAATGATGGGGTGTGTGTGTGTGTTTTTTTTTTTTTTTTTTTTTTTTTTTAATGGTAGATTGAGTTGTTAACATAATCCCACTCACGGGCTCAGCTTCCTTGAAAAATACTGTAGTTAGCATCATCATACATAAAATAGTTGGCGCAATATGTCAAAAGACTCAAAACTAAAATAGTTACACAAAGAATGTGGCAGAACTAAGGAGACCTGAATTTTAAATAAAATAAAAAGGAACAAAACAGGACAGAGTGGATCCATCATTAGAATTTGAAACAATCAGCACCATTTGATTTGGTTTGATACTCGGAGTACCGCAAGGAGATAATAACTAGTGGCGCGAGAAAATACTTCTTAACTATGACTTTAATTCGCTAAATAAACAGGCTCTAGTTCGTCCAAATGGCTGATGTTGGAAACAAGTTTTTATTCCCAAATACTATTTTCCATTGACCAGAGGAAAGTTGATCTCAAAGTTTATCCTTTAACCTCACATCAAATAATGAGTGCATATAGAAAGCAAGTATATGCATTTGAGATGATTGACTGCTTTGGAAAATAGTCAAGGGAAGGGACAGATAGAAACCGCCTTGATGTGTGTACATTTGTTGAAACTTGAAATTGTATTGGTTTCATTTCCAAGAAAAATAGGCACCATTATCCTTTTAAGCTAATTTCAAATTAGGAACAAACCCAAGTCTTAAATTCTGGCTGTTCTACACTTACGATAGGATAATTGGTTATTATATGTCCATCTATTTCTCTCTCTCTCTCTCGTGTGTCAACTAATAAAACAAACTTGAAAAGTGCTCCTTAACCAATAGAATAATACTTGAAGTTAAAGAATCACTTTCTACTTATCGTGAATTTTCTCTAACACAAGTATAGTTTTTAATTTCACTGGATTCCTGGGGTTTTTTTACTTAACTTTCACAACTTTAAAAAAAAAAAACTAATAAAACGTGTGCATCTTCTTTTATGCTTTTTGGTTTTCCTTTTTTTAACCGTCTTGCTTCTCCTAATTGTTATTGTTTATTTCCATTGTTTTATCCCCCTTCTTTTAGTTCTATAAAAATGACACTAGTGTGTGTCTATTTATATATATATATATATATAGAGAGAGAGAGAGAGAGAGAGAGAGAGAGAGTGGTTGACAATCAGCATGAGGCAACACAGGATCCGACATATGGAGGTGGGGAATGGGAAATTCCGGATGAAATGCCTGCAAAGCTCGAGACCTTGGTTTGGCTTCACCTTTTAAGCTTTTAACATATTCCCTATGTTTCAAGCCCTCTTTTAATTTTTAAACGCTAACGAAAGCCATTGGAGGATTCCACTTCCTTTTTTCTAAATACCAACCATTTTTGTCTGCTTTTCTGTTTTTTATGCCAAGCCCCTCTTTTTGTGGCTCTCTCACTAGGCTTCTCTGGTCCTTTTTTGCTATGTTTATAGCACTATGAAAGGCATTCTTCATTTGCAAAACTTGCAACCTACTATTATATGCATGATTCAAGCTGAACAATATCAGGTACAATAAAAAAAAAAAATTTGCCCAATGAATAACATTATGATACAATGATTTTTCAACTTTATATGACTTTTTAACCCAAAAAAAAAAAACACAAAAACAAAAAACATGATGCTCATGATTTAAACTGGCTCATCATTTTCAGCAAGGTTTTACCCATGACACTGACTCCCGCATAATTCACTCTCCATATAATTGTGTTTACTCTCTATATTACAAATAGATGGGCCACTGCAGATATTTGATTTAGCATAATGATGAGACAAAACTTAATTCCACAAAGAGAAAAAAAAAAAAAAAAACAAAAACAAAACAAGTACAAGCAAAGGATAACCATAGATGCATCCATCAAAATGACCCACCACCCAGAAAATCAGGACTTATCTGATTGCTTTAAGCATTTACATGTCAGTTTGTTGAGATTGAAGGAGGGGCTACTCTTGCCTGGTATCCTAGTAGCACTAGCCAAATGAGTGAACTGCAAAGCAAGTGAACAATTCCAACTATCTTCTGTAGTCGTTTTTCAAAACCGGCTTTTTAAGAGATTTTGGGTGGAATAGTACTGCCCATCCCACTAGCTTCTGTAGCCTTCTGTTTAAAACATAGGAGGACCTGCATAATGATGATGCTCTTCAAAAGATGAGACAAAATTTAACATTCCATATCCGGAAAACTTTACAAGACATCAACGTAAAAGGAAATCTCAAACCCCACACTTTCCCCCAAAGTTCCCTCATTTCTTAGTGTGTGTGAATCAAACGTCTTATTACATACATCAGGTGGGTAACCCCAATCTCCATTACCGGTGTGGGAAGCAATTGAAGCCACATTTCTACCCAAATCACATCATTAACCACTTAACTCTTAATGCCAAAGTGGTCCAAGAAACTGTTTTAAGTTCAACATTCGCATCCGAATACCTTTAATTCATTTGTTTCGTCAAATCCCATATTACAACAACAAACGTGTTCTAGAATTTACAGAAGAATGAACCAATTGATAATCCAAGTTGTTAACTAGTTACATAAAAGAGTTTGACACGCAGCTTTTGGGAGGTCAGATACAGATCTATACGGCTATATCATACTCATAAATATATGCAAGTTTGTTTATTATATTTGAACAAGGGCTGGCTAGATGGCCAATCGACATATTTGGTGATATTTAATCCCCGGATCTTAATTCCCTTTCAAGCTCATCAAACTCCCAGTCACCAATCTCCTCAGCCGAGTAGTCTTGACCCACCTTACCAAACTCCGACTCGAGCTTTGCTAGTTCTGCTGCAGGGTCTAACACTTGATCTGCCTTGGCTACAGGTGATTTTGGATGCTCATCTGTCTCGGCTTTATGTGCCCCTGCATCCTTGTTTCGAGGTTCTGGTGGACCACTTTTGATCGTTTCAGTAGATGGAGCTTCTTCTTTTGGGGGTGGATTCTCCATTTCAAGATTTGGTCTCTCAACAGATTCAAATTCCCCTCTTAACTTCTCTATGTCATCAAACAGCTCCTTAACCTTTTGATCACCTTTCCTATTTTACGGCAAGCCATGTATTTATTTTCAGAATTTATTTTTTTTTAAAAAAGAAAAGAAAGAAAGAATATCATAGAAATGAAAAGAAGTTGTGATACCTGGAAATTTTGGATTGTTGAGCATAAAATTGTTCTTTCATGTTATCCACAACACTAAGGGTGGTAATAATCTGGAACATGAGGGGGAAAGAAAAAAGTAATGCGAGTGCTCAAGAGAAAAAAAAAATAAAATAAAAAAATTCGTTCACACCTTAATATCACTTAAATTGTGAAAACCAGACATCGTGTGACAATGGTTGATAGATCACTAATGCGTAATTACATTTGAACTCAAGTCATTTAGAAAATTAAAATACCTTGGCTTCATAGTCCAAATATTCCTCCTCAAGATGTTTCCTTGGGTTTAGTAATCCAGAATCGTCCTTTTCTGCACCGGAAGCAGTCTCTGGCCTATATCATGAGGCCAAAATTATTTTAATTTTGAAAAGGTTCACATGAGAAAAGATCCAAACCACTTCGACAAAACCAAAGAATATTACCCATCACTCAATTTCTTTAGATTCTCCACAAATTTTCCAATACGGCTTATAGACGGCCCAAACTCTTTCTGCACAGAAAGTAGAAAGTTACGACCCAAGAATAACATGAGAGATAACTTCATATCATAGTGCAAAATTTGTATTTCCTCAGAACGAAAATTAAAAATACCTTGTAAGCAGAGAGAAGATGAATGACCAATTTCACATAATAGTCCTCATGCCTCTCCAATTCATCACTTGAAAATGCAAACAAACAATAAAAATAAGCATCAATGCAAAGATAAACAAGACAGATTAGGAACCAAATTGACCAGAAAAATTAAATACTACTAACAAAAGGATTAAGGGAGTATTTTCACAAGGTCGAGTTCGAACACATACTTGACCTGCTTCTCCTTCATTTCTGCATATGAGCATTGCAGAACCCAGGTATCTTCCAAAAAATTAAGCCATGTATTTAGAACATCTGCTTCTATTCTACATGAGGCAACAGATTTTGATAGCTCATCTTCCTGTCAACAAATTCAAAAATATTTTTGATATTGACATTTGTTTTTGGTTTAAAGAGCAGAGAAAAACGTAAAATGGCATCATCAAGTATAAGCCGTCCGACTCATAGGGCGCAGTTAAGAACTTCTAACAAGATTGCTCGAGTGTTAAATTACTTTATGTAGGAAATTAGAAGATTTTATCTTTTCAGTTTTTGAATTAAAGAGCCAAATCCCTTAGTTTGGGATTAGGATCCTAGGAGATGGGGAATTCCAGTTTTTTCTAGATAAACACCGGATCTAGATAGATTTAGATAAGATAAGAGCTTATTTGAATTTCTATGAGCTGTCAAGAGTACTTGGTATCCTATAAATTAGGTTTACGTTACACTAATAATAATAAGAGAAAAAAGTAAGTTTTTCCCTTCAAAACCTACATGGTATCAGAGCCTTAGGGTTATAATCTTAGGGCAGAATGGCAAAAACAGCCATGACAGGCGTAAACAGAGCCCAAACCTCATCTGAGGTAACCTCCGAAAACAACCTAGATAGCTCCCCTGTTACCGGTATTGACAGTATAACAACCGGTACATCCTATAGATTTCCATTCCAAAATTTAATGGGAAAAACTACCTTGAGTGGTCCCAATCGGTGAAGCTTGTGCTTGATGGCAGAGGAAAATTAGGGTTTCTTACCGGGGAAGAAAAACAACCTCAGGAGAAAGATTCTGACTTTAAAAGATGGAGGTCAGAAAATTCTTTGGTGACAGCATGGTTACTAAACACCATGGAAACAGCAATTGCAAAACCCAACATGTTCCTACCAACCGCCAAGGATGTGTGGGATTCAATTCGGCAAACCTACTCTGATTTGGAAAATTCTTCACAGATCTTTGAATTGAAATCAAAACTATGGCAATCCAAACAAGGAGACCATGAGATCACAGTATACTACAATGAGATGGTAGCCCTTTGGCAGGAATTGGATCAATGCTATGATGATGAATGGGAGAATCCGAATGATTGTGCAAGATATATGAAGCGTGAAGAGAATGATCGTGTCTACATGTTTCTTGCAGGAGTTAATCGAAGTCTAGATGAGGTAAAGGGTAGGATTCTTGGTCGAAAACCCTTGCCCTCTATCCGAGAAGTTATTTCAGAAGTACGACAAGAAGAAAATAGGAGAAGAATCATGTTGAACAGCACAGCACCAACCCCAGAACCTGAGAATTCTGCACTAGTCTCCCGCAACTCAGGAGGATCCGACATAGAAGGTGAACGGAAAAGACGCCCGTGGTGTGATCATTGTCGGAGACCATGGCACACTAAGGAGACAAGCTGGAAACTTCATGGAAAACCAGCAAACCTCAAGAAAAAACAAGAGGGCAATGGCAGGGCGTTCAAGACTACTACGGAAGACTCTCAAGAGCAGCCCATTGACTCGGAAGTGTCTCCTTTCACTAAGGAACAATTAGAGCATCTATATAAGCTCTTTAAATCTCCACAATTTACTGTCAATCCTTCATGCTCACTTGCAACCCAAGGTGTAATTCATATGTCACAGCCCTTTCTAGCCTAGGTTTTTTCTCTTCTAGTCCATGGATTATAGACTCTGGAGCAACAGATCATATGACAAATTGCTCACATCTCTTCTCATCCTATAGTCCTTGTGCAGGAAACAGGAAAATTAAAATTGTTGATGGATCTTTTTCGGCGATAGCCGGGATTGGGTCAATCAAAGTTTCCTCTCTCATAACTCTTAATAATGTGCTTCATGTCCCAAAATTGTCATGTAACCTCTTATCTATTAGTAAGATAACACAAGATCTTAAGTGTCAAGCTAATTTTTATCCAACTCATTGTGAGTTTTAGGAACTAGCCTCAGGGAGGATGATTGGCAATGCTAGGGAAAATGGAGGACTCTACTTTTTTAAAGAAGGACCAACTCCGAGTAAACCAATCCAAAGTTCATGTTTTGAAGCTGTCTCTTTCTAGGAATCATGAAATTATGTTATGGCATTATAGACTTGGTCATCCAAGCTTTTATTATTTAAAACGTTTGTTTCCATCTTTATTTCTCAATAAGAATCCTTCATTTCAGTGTGAAATTTGTATTATTGCAAAACAACATCGATCTACTTATTCTCCACAACCATACAAACCCACTAAACCTTTTTCCTTAATCCACAGCGATGTTTGGGGCCCCTCACGAACTTCTACTCTTTTCGGGAAAAGATGGTTTGTCACATTTATAGATGACCACACTAGAGTAAGTTGGGTTTATTTGTTGAAAGAAAAAACAGAGGTTGAAGGAGTTTTCAAAAACTTTTACAGTATGGTACAAACTCAATTTAATGGAAATATTCAAGTCTTTAGAAGTGATAATGGAAAGGAGTTTTTTAATAATATTTTGGGGAATTTTTTAACTGAAAAGGGGATTATTCACCAAAGTTCATGTAATGACACCCCTCAACAAAATGGAGTAGCTGAGAGGAAAAATAAACACCTTCTAGAAGTTGCTAGAGCCTTACTTTTCACACATAATGTTCCAAAATATCTTTGGGGTGATGCCATTCTCACAGCTACCTATCTCAATAATCGGATGCCCTCAAAAATTCTAGATTTTCAAACTCCTTTGCAAATCTTCTCAAAAACCTTTCCATTCTCTAGGGTCTTATCAGACTTGCCTATTAAACACTTTGGATGCACTGTTTTTGTTCACAACACTGATCAAAACCGAAGTAAACTAGATCCTACAGCCAAAAAATGTGTCTTTGTAGGCTATGCTCCAACAAAAAAGGGATATAAATGCTATGACCCTATTTCGAAAAAATTGTTTCTCTATGGATGTCACTTTCTTTGAAACACAGCCGTTTTTTAAGTCTTCTCTTCAGGGGGAGAAAAATAGTGAAGATCCGACTTGGGATAAAATAGAACACTTGGTGACTAAAGTTCCTTTACAGCCTGAACAGAATTTGATTTCAGAATCTGGTTCTAAACAGTCACCAACAAACTCGGTTTTAACTCAAAACCAGGAAGACCAAAGTCTCGTTCCAGCAGAAAATAATGGTCCTTTAGAAGGAGATGCAAATTAAAGGAAATTTGGACTGGTTTACTCCCAAAAGAACTTGACTCATGGAAGGGAGTCTGAAATTTTCCAGCAAAGCCGAAACTCCAACCCGCGGCAGGACCAAAACCTTGTGAATGCCCCTTCTCCCGTCCAAGATTATCCAGGTATCTCTCCTCTCTTAAACTCCATTCCCGGAGAAACAACTCTCAATAATCTCCCAATTACTGTCCGAAAAGGGGTTAGATCATGTACTAAGTATCCAATGTCCAAATTTGTGTCCTATGAAAAATTGTCCCCATGTTTTCTTCCTTCACTACTCAACTCTCACTTGTGGAAATTCCAAAGATTGTTCAAGATGCTTTACAGGTCCCTGAGTGGAAGGAGGCAGTTCTAGAGGAAATGAGGGCTCTCGAGAAGAACAATACTTGGAAGATGGTCGACCTACCGAAGGATAAGAATACTGTAGGCTGCAAATGGGTGTTCACAGTAAAATACAAGTCAGACGGATCTCTGGAAAGATATAAGGCTCGTTTGGTTGCAAAGGGCTTCACTCAAACATATGGAATCGACTACATGGAAACTTTTGCCCCAGTAGCAAAACTTAATACTATTAGAGTACTTCTCTCATTGGCAGCAAACCTGGATTGGCCACTACAGCAACTAGATGTTAAGAACGCTTTTTTGAATGGTGATTTGGAAGAAGAGGTGTACATGGATGCCCCACCGGGTTTTGACGGAGAGTTTGGCTCTAAGGTGTGCAGATTGATGAAGTCACTATATGGTTTGAAGCAGTCACCGAGGGCGTGGTTTGAGAAATTTACTTGCTCAGTAAAAAGGCAGGGTTATACACAGGCTCAAACGGATCACACAATGTTCTTCAAGCACTCATCAAGCGGAAGAATTACCATCCTAATTGTCTATGTTGATGACATTATCTTGACAGGGGATGACTCGGTAGAGATGCACAGCTTAAAAAAGAATTTAGCTACAGAATTTGAGATCAAAGACTTGGGCTCCCTCAAATATTTCCTTGGATTGGAGGTGGCAAGGTCACATAAAGGAATTGTTGTAAGTCAACGGAAGTATGTGTTAGACCTTCTGGATGAGACAGGTATGAGTGGATGCAAACCGGTAGATACACCAGTGGAACCCAATGTTAAGCTCAACAACGATGGGGAAGGAGATCCAGTGGACACAACAAGATATCAGAAGTTAGTTGGTAAACTAATCTACTTATCTCATACGAGACCAGACATAGCTTTCGCAGTCAGCCTTGTTAGTCAGTTTATGCACTCACCTAGGAAGGAACACTTAGAGGCTACTTACCGTATTCTAAGATACTTAAAGAATTCTCCTGGGAGAGGTCTAATTTTTAGAAAGAACACTCAACGTGGGATTGAAATCTACACTGATGCAGACTGGGCTGGATCCTCCACAGATAGGAGATCAACAACAGGATATTGTTCCTATGTATAGGGTAATTTAGTTACTTGGAGGAGTAAGAAGCAAAGTGTAGTAGCAAGGAGTAGTGCCGAGGCAGAGTATAGAGCAATGGCTAATGGTGTGTGTGAACTACTGTGGTTACAACGGGTGTTGAATGAATTAAAGTTGCTGATAGAAGCTCCTATGAAGTTATACTGTGACAACAAAGCTGCAATCAGCATTGCCAACAACCCTGTGCAACATGATGGAACCAAACATGTTGAAGTTGATTGGCATTTCATCAAGGAAAAGCTCGAAGGAGGTTTGATCTGCATGCCATTCGTTCCAACAGTACAACAAACAGCAGATATCTTCACGAAGGGATTGTTCAAGTCGACATTTGATTTTTTTGTTAGCAAGTTAGGTTTGCATGATATCTATGCACCAACTTGAGGGGGAGTGTAGGAAATTAGAAGATTTTATCCTTCCAGTTTTTGAATTAAAGAGCCAAATCCCTTAGTTTGGGATTAGGATCCTAGGAGATAGGGAATTCCGGTTTTTTCTAGATAAACACCGGATCTAGATAGATTTAGATAAGATAAGAGCTTATTTGAATTTCTATGAGCTGTCAAGAGTACTTGGTATCTTATAAATTAGGTTTACGTTACACTAATAATAATAAGAGAAAAAAGTAAGTTTTTCCCTTCAAAACCTACACTTTACAAGGGCCAAAAAGATGCATCGCTCGGAACTGTTACATTGCTACTAGTTACCACATACCACTCATTACAGAATAAAGAGAAAGAATCCAAACCTTCATTTTCAAGTGTTCAACAATCTGATTGTTTGCCTCATCAAACTGGTCTCTCTCTTCCCTGGCATTGCGAAGTCGGGCGTTAGCTGCAGCCAAGGAGATATTAACCTACACCAGACCAAGTCATCTTCTCAAGCATTTGCCATCAATAACGTAAAAAAGGAACAATAAATCCTTTTTTGTCCAAAAGAAAAGGGAAAAAAAAAATCTTACTGCACATTCAAATATACAGAGACAGAAAATTGCTAAATTACTAGTCGTGAAAGTCACCATTTTTGTCTTTTATTATAATAAAGTATAATATGCTGCAGATATAAGAAAAATAAAGGAGTGAAACCTTTTTCAACTGAGCTTCAAGGTCGTCTCTCTGTTTTTCAAGCTCCGCAATCTCAGATGCTAATTCCTGGAAAAGAAACCATTGGAACAAAAAACTCAAATTTCAGTCCAAAATATACTGACAGCACATACAAGCGACAAGCATTGTGATAAACCCCGGGAAGGAGAAGGTAGCCGAAGCACAGGGAAACAATCCTCAGGACGGTTAGAAAAGGGGGGCTGAGTGACACGAGGGAATGGGTTGATCTGGGGAAATAGGAAAGGTTTGTTAGTTAGTTATTTGCTTTGGGATCTGCAACGAATAGGAGGGATCCAAATAAATGGAGAGGGAGAGAAGAGAGAGGGTATCGAAGAAGTGAGAAACTGTGAAAGAGAGAGAGTGCACGGGGTCACTCGAAAACCCCCATATCTTGTATTCGTTTCCGTTTTTGTCTGCAGAATTAATTCCACAGATTCAGTGAATTTACTCAGATCCTTGTGTGTTGTGTGATTATCGCTTGATTAGGCCTGAGAGCTTAACATTTTGGTATCAGAGCATCTTCCTGGGGATGACGAAGAGGACGGACGACCGCAAGAAAGAAAGGACGGAGGGAACGAAGGAGGATTTCAAGAGGGAATTGGAAATGGTAAGGGAAGATTTGAAGAAGATTCCCAGGCTAGAGCAGGGAATGGCGATGATGCTGGAAAAATTAGACAAACTGATGCGTCATCGAACCGAAACGGACCGAGAGCCTACTCCGACGGAGAGGAGGACGATGGAGAATCAACCGGCGGCGAATGGGGGAAATCGAGCGGAATTCCGAACACGAAGGGTAGAAATGCCCACTTTCAACGGAGACAACCCCGATGGCTGGATTTTCCGAGCTGAGAGATATTTTGCCATGAACAAGATGACGGAGAGTGAGAAGTTGGATGTGGCGGTAGTGAGTTTGGACGGAGAAGCTTTAGCTTGGTTCCAGTGGGAGGATAGCCGGCGGGTGATACGAGATTGGGCAGACCTGAAGGTGTTGGTGCTGGAGAGATTTCGCCCGACACAGGAGGGCAGTCTATGCGAAAAATTCCTGTCGCTGTGCCAAGAATCGTCAATCCGAGAGTATTGCAAGCTTTTTGAGACATTGGCTACTCCATTAACGGAGGTCTCCGAGCAGGTCCTTGAGAGCTCATTCATCAATGGATTGAGGCCAGAAATACGGGCTGAAATTCGTATGCTGAAGCCTAAAGGATTGGGCCGGATCATGGAATTTGCCCAGCGGGTGGAGGAGCGTAACCTATTGGTACGCAGCCCAAAGGCCCATAATGTACATCACAGCCCAGGAAACAAAACAAGTCCAGGAAACCCATAGACTTTACCTAGGGGGGTTTCATTTCCAGCTGGCTTTTGGACCACGAGGGGGAGTGGCGCCGTGGGGAAGAATGACCCCCAATTCGGATCGACCAACGGGTAGCAGAACCAGAGCGGCACTGTTCCGGCGGTTGACCGACGCCGAACTTCAGGCAAAGCGGGAGAAGGGCCTCTGCTACTGCTGTGATGGGAAATATGTGTTTGGGCACCGATGCCCTAATCGGGAGTTGCAGGTGCTCATCGTGCGCGATGAGGAAGAGCAGGAGGAGACGCATGAGGGAAAAGAGGAGACACTCGAGGAAGGTGAAGTGGTGGAGCTCTCCATCAACTCCGTGGTTGGACTTACCGCTCCAAAGACTATGAAGCTCCGAGGAGTTATACGCGGAAAAGAGGTAATAATCTTAATTGACAATGGGGCAACTCATAATTTCATTTCGTACGAACTAGTGAGATGCTTGGATTTGCCTATAGACCGGACCGAAGGGTATGGGGTGGTTATGGGAACGGGATTGTCAATTAAAGGGGAAGGGGTTTGCCGAGGGGTGGCGGTTTGCTACAAGAGGTCGAAATCGTGGAAGACTTTCTTCCCCTGGAGCTAGGCAGCGCTGACCTTATTCTAGGAGTTCAGTGGCTGGAGACCTTGGGGATGATGACTGTGAATTGGAAAACCTTACTGATGAAATTTAATTTGGGGGATCGGCAAGTGACACTAAAAGGGGATCCGGGGTTGAATAAATCCCCAGTCACTCTTAAGGCCTTAATGCGAGCCCTCAAACAAGAGGGGCAAGGCATGTGGGTGGAGTTGAATGCCCTGGGAATGGAGCAGGAGGGGGAGGATGTGAAGGTGCCAGTGGAGTTGCAGACCGTGCTACAACGGCATTCGGTAGTATTTGAGGCTCCGACAGAATTGCCCCCAGAACGAACAAGGGACCATGCGATTGTGTTGAAGGCGGGGACTTCGCCGATTAACGTAAGGCCATACCGTAATCCACAGATACAAAAGGACGAGATTGAACGGTTGGTTGGTGAGATGCTAGCAGCTGGAATTATACAGCCTAGTTTAAGTCCCTATTCTAGCCCGGTCCTTTTAGTGAAGAAGGATGGAAGCTAGAGGTTTTGTGTGGATTACCGGACCCTCAATAAGGAGACGGTGCCGGATCGCTTTCCGATACCGGTAATAGATGAGCTCCACGGGGCTACCATCTTCTCCAAAATCAATCTCAAGTCGGGTTACCATCAAATTCGCATAAGGCCGGAAGATGTGCCTAAAACCACTTTTCGCACACACGAGGGGCACTATGAATTTCTGGTTATGCCGTTTGGGCTCACGAATGCCTCGGCAACCTTCCAATCACTCATGAATGACGTGCTCCGAGCGTTCCTTCGCAAGTTCGTTTTGGTCTTCTTTGATGACATTTTGGTCTACAACCGCACTATGGGGGAACATGAGTACCACTTGGACCAGGTATTGGCGGTTTTACACCAGCACCACTTCTTTGCCAATGAAAAAAAGTGAAGTTTTGGGCAGAACTCAATCGAGTATTTGGGGCACATTGTGTCTGGAGATGGGGTTTTGGCAGACCCTGCCAAGGTGGAAGCCATGGTGCATTGGCCTATTCCCACGAATTTGAAGGAGCTGCGAGGGTTTTTGGGGTTAACCGGCTACTACAGAAAGTTTGTGGCAGGTTACAGCCACATTGCAGGGCCTTTGACCAACCTGCTGCGGAAGGATAACTTCCACTGGGATGAGGCAGCCAGCAACGCTTTCGTTGCACTCAAGCAGGCCATGACAAGAGTGCCTGTTCTAGCATTGCCCGAATTCAATAAAACCTTCATACTGGAAACCAATGCTTCCGGATATGGGGTTGGGGCCGTGTTGATGCAAGAACAACGGCCTATAGCCTACTTCAGTCAAGCCCTGTCCACACTAGCTCGCAAAAAATCTGTATATGAACGGGAATTAATGGCCATAGTCCTAGCCATACAGAAATGGCGGCCATACCTCTTGGGACGACACTTCGTGATACGTACCGACCAACGTAGCCTCAAGTATTTGTTAGAACAGCGCTTAGTATCCCCGGAACACCAAAAGTGGCTGACTAAGTTGATGGGATACGACTTTGAGATCCAGTACAAACCAGGAGCGAACAACAGGGCTGCGGATGCTCTTTCCCACCGTGGCAGCACCCTGGACTTGTGCGCCTTGTCTCTGGCCCCAATAGCCGACTCTGGAGAATTGCACCAACAGGTAATGCACGATGAACAATTAGCTAAGATATGGGCCGAACTCCAACAGGATGCGACAGCCCATCCAGGTTTTTCCATCAATCAGGGCAGGCTATTTTTCCACGACCAAATGGTGGTGCCTCGGAAGTCACCATTTATCAAGAGTTTACTGCATGCCTACCATGAAGGTGTCTTGGGCGGGCATTCAGGGGTATTGAAAACGTACAGACGGATGGCAGCGGAGTGGTATTGGGCTGGAATGAAAAAAGACGTCACTGCCTACGTGGCAGAATGTGCGGTGTGCCAGCGCTGTAAAGCCTCCACACTGGCCCCTAACGGTCTCCTACAGCCCCTACCAATTCCAGACCGGGTGTGGGAGGACCTTTCGATGGACTTTATCGAGGGCCTACCGCGTTCAGAGGGGAACGACACCATATTAGTGGTCGTGGATCGACTTAGTAAGTATGGGCATTTCCTGGCACTGAGGCATCCTTTCTCAGCGGAGACGGTGGCCAGACTCTTCATTCGAGAGATAGTGCGCCTTCATGGGGTACCCCGTACCATCGTGTCGGATCGCGACCGCATCTTCATGAGTCATTTTTGGACCGAGCTCCACAAGAAAATGGGCACCATTTTATCCCGGAGCACGGCCTACCACCCCCAGTCCGATGGCCAAACGGAGGTAGTCAATAGGTGTGTGGAGACATACCTTCGCTGTTACACTTCGGACAAGCCCAGCCAATGGTACAAATGGTTAGCTTGGTCGGAGTACTGGTGCAACACTTCCTTCTATACAGCCACCCGCACCACTCCTTTTCAGGCTGTATACGGGCGCACACCACCTCCCTTGTTGCGCTATGGCACAGGCTCCTTGCTAGTGGATTCTGTGGAGCAGCACCTCATGGACCGAGATGCAATGTTGGACCTCCTCAAATTCCACCTTTCCCGCGCCCAGCAAAAAATGAAGGCCGTGGCCGATAGCAAGCGCCAGGACGTCAAGTTCGCCGTAGGGGACTCCGTGTATCTCAAGCTCTGCCCTTATTGACAAGTGAGCTTAGCGCGCAAGCACAATGAGAAGTTAAGCCCCCGTTACTATGGCCCCTTTGATATTATTGGCTGTGTAGGACCCGTAGCATACCGCCTTAACCTTCCAGCGAAGTCCGCGATCCACCCGGTGTTTCATGTCTCGCAACTACGCCGGGTTGTTGGGCAAGGATAGCCAGTGTCCACCTTGCCACCGCACCTGACGAAGGATTTGGAGCTGCGGGCTGAACCAGCTGCCCTTCTTAGAGTGCGGCAACGAGAACTCAGGGGACGCCCAGACACCGAGGTCCTGATACGCTGGGCCAATTTACCTGCCCATGAGGACACATGGGAATCCTATCAGGCCATGGACCGACAATACCCTTACCCTACGATTCACCTATGTACGGAAGAGACTACGTGGGAAATATCATGCAGGTACAGGGAAGGAGAAGGTAGCCGAAGCACAGGGAAACAATCCTCAGGACGATTAGAAAAGGGGGGCTGAGTGACACGAGGGAATGGGTTGATCTGGGGAAATAGGAAAGGTTTGTTAGTTAGTTATTTGCTTTGGGATCTGCAACGAATAGGAGGGATCCAAATAAATGGAGAGGGAGAGAAGAGAGAGGGTATCGAAGAAGTGAGAAACTGTGAAAGAGAGAGAGTGCACGGGGTCACTCGAAAACCCCCATATCTTGTATTCGTTTCCGTTTTTGTCTGCAGAATTAATTCCACAGATTCAGTGAATTTACTCAAATCCTTGTGTGTTGTGTGATTATCGCTTGATTAGGCCTGAGAGCTTAACACATTGCCTCTTTAGTCTCTCTACTACAATTTCAATATGGCACTCAAATTCCATATTACAACCTGTAATTGGGCAAGATATAAAAATGTTGTCTACTGCAGTGCACTCACACCTCACAAGAAATATATATTACTATGCGAAAAAATCACCTTCTCTTTTTCACTTGCTTCACTTGCTTTGGCAACACGAACTTTAAGTGCCTCCTCTTTTTGGGATCTACCAAAGTAAAGGAACAAGCATTTTTTTCAAGAACCAAAGATCTATGTACAATAATCAAGAAAGTACATGCTATATACTATATGCAAGTACATAATCAATAATAAAGTACATGCTACATACTATGAGCAAGAAACATAAAGTTTTCAACTAAATTTTGATTTTTGAATCAAGTTAATGGATAAAATGAGGACATTCACAATTGAAACACTTCATACAATAATATGAAAAAGAACATTCAAAAACATATTCATAGAGCTTTCAGGCAATCTACATCATATTCAATAAACCTTTTCAAATAGTAAGACATATTTGATAGTAGCTCTGAGAATATAAAGAGCAAGAAAATTTGTAGATATGAAATTACCTGTGATCTGAAATACGCTTTTCAGCTTTCACAGACGAGTTAGCAAGAGATTCTGATAAGACTTTCAATTTATCAACCTATTCATACAGCCAAAATAATGAGAATACAGCAGTTATAGTGCCCCCAAAAGCCGCTTAGCATTTGTCAAATGATAACACTGGCAAGTGAAACAACACATATTCAAACAATTAAACCAACCTTTTAATGTGAACATTCCTGATCTGAAAGAAAGTGCAGAGATTGCTATCTTAAAACAAGAGGACACATATAAAGCAGCAAAATGGAAACAAACCTTTTGAGCATGGATCTCCGGTGAGTCTCCGTTGTTGAGAAATTTCTTCTCTAGTAGAAGCCCTTCCAATCTTGAACAAGCTCGAATTTGTGCAAGTGCTTCTTTCAACGACTAAAGCAAAAGTAGGACATTAGTGGATTAAAAAAAGGAAAAAAGAAGAAGAAAAACAAAAGAACCTTAAAAATATGTAATTTCCATTTATTTGGATCTGAAGAAGGAAAGAGTTTGGACCTAGAACATGACTAAAGTGAACACTTTTACATCATCAGAGCATTGATGTGCACCTCCGCTGGGAACATTTCACTAATTGGTACCAATTGGACAGTTTTGGTGCTTTTGTTCCTCTCTTAGAATTACTAAATTCGAATTTTTCTTGTATGTGTGGACTCAAACATATTATGGACTAGATGCGACCTTGAACAAGTAATCCTTTTAATTGAAGCATCTTAAATTTACCATTTATAATTAAAATAAAAAAAATTAACGATCTTATACACATGTTACAAGCATTTGATGGTCTTACCACCAAGCAATAACTATAAGTAGCTCAGTAATAAAGGATCCATCTTATAATGATCACAAGGGCTATCAGAATTACCAAAGCTCACCTCTATAGTTTCTGGTGTTGTTCCTTCTGGCCCGTTGTCATGAACTTCAGAAGACTTCTGGGAAGCTGTCATCCCATCGAGCTTTTTCTTTAGACTAGATGCTTCAGCATCTATTCTGTGACCATCAAAAATCAGCGAAAGCAAATATCAGGAAACTAGCAGTAGAATAACGTGGACCAAACAAAAGTGAATCCATTGCAACTTCTCAGTGGACACGGGAAATTTTTATAGGACTAATAAATTATCCAACTCAGTTATATCTTCCACTCTCTGGGATGGATTTGCGGGGCAAGACTAAGTCATTGTAGGCATTACAAGTAGAGCAAGCAACTAGCATATTAAGAGCATTGGTTCTATAATAGTATATTATGCAGAAAAATGGAAGGGATTTTTCTTTCCTTTTTTTCTTTCTTTCCCCCTTAGCAGTCAATATTATATTTTTTTTTATAGCCCTGAAATCTCCCAAATCCACTTAGGCTTAAGTTAGAAACTGGAGCCCCCGCCAAACCCTACAATCTTTAGGAAGCTTGATACTCTTGGTTATTTACCCGGTAGGTGGGCTTGAGAAATTGAACCTCAGACCAAACCATAAACCCTGAACAAACAGTAGACTCTATAGAAGCTTAGTTTGATACCTCAAATCCAAGCATACGGGGTGAAGAAAAACATAAAAGCCAAAAGGATAATGACTGTTCATAGTTTTCCCACCTCCCAATATCAGCATTAATCTTCAGCCCAGTAATGGCCCCTTGTGCAAATTGAAGTAATTCCTCCCGCTTCACCTGAAAGAAAAGGGTAAGATGAATGAGTAAGCATTATTTAACATCAAGCAAAAATGGAAAAAGTCCAGAAGCAAATAGAAGAGGTCCATCAAAAACTTGTTAGCAGTATTAGGTCTCCGCATGGACTGGAATGGATATCAGAGTATTACACGTTTTATTCTATGAGCTTTGGCTGACCCTAGTAACAGAAATAAAGAATGTTCAAACTTACGGAAAAAAAAAATGTAAAGAATGAATATTTTCCAACAAAATTGTCCGTCAACAACTCCTAAATCACATCTTTCAAAAAATCTAACGCGTGACAATACTCATTTATTTACCAATACTTCATCTTCATAACTGGAAAAAGCTTTTGCCAGATCCTGTATACTGCTAACTACTGCATTATGAACTTCCTTTCCACCAGTAAGACAAAGCCTGTAAATAAATGAAGCTATATTCAGATCTCTTTCATGCTAATCCTAAGAAATGAATGCTCACAAGTTATTCTGCTATATTTTCCTCAGACAGGGTTACAAACAAATCTCAAAGATTGGAAGAATTCATAGATACAATAAGCATCCTGCAGGGGTATGAAAATGAGGGGATCACCAGCTTTATATTCGTAATGAAATTAAAACTTATCCCCCTGGAGAACTGAAAGTTTCACTTGCATACTCAGGCATCAAATCACTATTATGGTTATGTGAGTGGACTCACCCAAACATCACCGAAAGAAGGGAAACTTCTTCCTCATTTGGGGCTTCAAGAATCTGAGGCACAGAAAAGAGCAAACCTGCGGTTAACCTCCATAATCAGCAATTACAAAGCACTAAACTTACTTAGATTTCATTCTGATGTTAGATGTGTTAGGTAAGTACATTAGATCAAAAACGACAACGCTTTTCCAATTGTCAGTTTCTTTTAATAACTGAACAATTCAAACAGTGATCAAGTGGTACTGAAGCGCAAAAGCTTTTTTCTCTCCTAGAGATATTCTTGTAAATAAAAATATATATATGTATATATATATATATGTATGTATGTATATAAGAATGTCTAAGAATTAGAAACCCAAATCAAAACAAAAGTAATTTATAAATTATGAGATATGAGATTATTATGTTGATTAGGATTTACAGGTATTATCCCAAATTAACCGGTAAGTATATCTAAATAAGGAGGCTTTTATGTCAGAGATTGACTAGAGAGTACCTTTTGACAGAAATTCCTGTGAAAACACTAATTATACTTGCTTAGTATGCTCTCGAAGTATGGAAATTCATAAGTATACAGTATACAGAAATTCTGAACCTGTACAACCTACTCCTGATGTTAATCCAAATAACCATATGCATATTCCAGAGTTAGTATATCATACCATAGACAATGCTATGCCCTCCAGAGCTTGACTTTGAAGGAAGACATCTCGAAAATTCATTGGTTCACCCCCCACATCAGAGTCATAATACGAAGCCTATTCAGAATAATATGACAAAAATTTCAGCAGTTCATTCAAACTTGGCACCAATATTTTTGTGCAAATGGTTTCAGATAACAATTACAAACTGAATCTACTGAAAATGCATGGCAATAAAACAAATGACTGACAGGACTTAAATCCTAGTCCGATTATTAAAGTGAGACTGAGTGGTTTTAAACTAACACTGGTGTTCACCTTCAGGTACATAAGTAAATTATAGAACCCATCTATAAAAGTGATTCAATGCACTTTTTCTTAAATTTCTATAATAGGCGCCTGCTATAATACATCCTCGAAGTGAAGAGTTAACTTGACTTAGCCTAAAAGTCTAAAGCTTCAACTAATAAGGTTAGCCCCCCGCGCTACAAAACATTTTCAGATCATGTTAATCTGGCCTTGGATTCAACAAACATTATGACAAACGGAAAACACTTCTCTCACCATGGATGGTCTTCTTGGACTTTCCTTCGAATCATCAGAAGCAGTATGTTCATTGAGTGTGTTTTCTTTGTCCTCAGAGCTATCATGAGACAACTTTTCAGTGTCTTTAAGTGCAATCAACCACCTTTTCAGTAACAGAGTTCTTTCACTGCCCCTGCAAGAGACAGCTGCTTCTTCTAATCGTTTTATAGTCTGCTTGGCACTTCTGAAATTCCTAGCACCCTGGATATGCATAAAATTCAAGAAAATGAAATCAAAACACACAACTAGATACCAAACAGGTAAACATTCGGTGAGCAATTAGAACAATGATAAGGATAACTTTAGTGAGCTAGTTATCTCTATTTAATAAATCCTTCATTTGGTGGTTTCCCTGTTTCAGAGCTGTGATAATTTTTCACTTTCCTGAAATACAACTCATGATCATATCATTGAACTATTTTTTCCCCTTTCAGAAAAGTAAAAAGCTCTCAAGCTTCCACACCTACTGTCTACATTTTCAGTTTTTCTAAACACTTTCACAATGTCTTTTTTTACTTCAATTTAGTACTTGATATATTATATTACCCAGTGGCGGCCCGGTAGCATCCCGCCTTAACCTTCCAGCGGAGTCCTCGATCCACCCGGTATTTCATGTCTCGCAACTTCGCTGGGTTGTTGGGCAAGGACAGCCAGTGTCCACCTTGCCACCGCACCTTACGAAGGATTTGGAGCTGCGGGCAAAACCAACTGCCCTTCTTGGAGTGCGGCGGCGAGAACTCGGGGGACGCCCAGACCCAGAGGTCCTGATACGCTGGGCCAATTTACCTGCCCATGAGGACACATGGGAATCCTATCAGGCCATGGACCAACAGTACCCTCATTTCCACCTTGAGGACAAGGTGCGACTTTGGGACGGGGGTAATGATAAACCCCCCCCCCTACGATTCACCTATGTACGGAAGAGACTACGTGGGAAATATCATGCAGGTACAGGGAAGGAGAAGGTAGCCGAAGCACAGGGAAACAATCCTCAGGACGATTAGAAAAGGGGGGCTGAGTGACACGAGGGAATGGGTTGATCTGGGGAAATAGGAAAGGTTTGTTAGTTAGTTATTTGCTTTGGGATCTGCAACGAATAGGAGGGATCCAAATAAATGGAGAGGGAGAGAAGAGAGAGGGTATCGAAGAAGTGAGAAATTGTGAAAGAGAGGGAGTGCACGGGGTCACTCGAAAACCCCCATATCTTGTATTCGTTTCCGTTTTTGTCTGCAGAATTAATTCCACAGATTCAGTGAATTTACTCAAATCCTTGTGTGTTGTGTGATTATCGCTTGATTAGGCCTGAGAGCTTAACACATTGCCTCTTTAGTCTCTCTACTACAATTTCAATATGGCACTCAAATTCCATATTACAACCTGTAATTGGGCAAGATATAAAAATGTTGTCTACTGCAGTGCACTCACACCTCACAAGAAATATATATTACTATGCGAAAAAATCACCTTCTCTTTTTCACTTGCTTCACTTGCTTTGGCAACACGAACTTTAAGTGCCTCCTCTTTTTGGGATCTACCAAAGTAAAGGAACAAGCATTTTTTTCAAGAACCAAAGATCTATGTACAATAATCAAGAAAGTACATGCTATATACTATATGCAAGTACATAATCAATAATAAAGTACATGCTACATACTATGAGCAAGAAACATAAAGTTTTCAACTAAATTTTGATTTTTGAATCAAGTTAATGGATAAAATGAGGACATTCACAATTGAAACACTTCATACAATAATATGAAAAAGAACATTCAAAAACATATTCATAGAGCTTTCAGGCAATCTACATCATATTCAATAAACCTTTTCAAATAGTAAGACATATTTGATAGTAGCTCTGAGAATATAAAGAGCAAGAAAATTTGTAGATATGAAATTACCTGTGATCTGAAATACGCTTTTCAGCTTTCACAGACGAGTTAGCAAGAGATTCTGATAAGACTTTCAATTTATCAACCTATTCATACAGCCAAAATAATGAGAATACAGCAGTTATAGTGCCCCCAAAAGCCGCTTAGCATTTGTCAAATGATAACACTGGCAAGTGAAACAACACATATTCAAACAATTAAACCAACCTTTTAATGTGAACATTCCTGATCTGAAAGAAAGTGCAGAGATTGCTATCTTAAAACAAGAGGACACATATAAAGCAGCAAAATGGAAACAAACCTTTTGAGCATGGATCTCCGGTGAGTCTCCGTTGTTGAGAAATTTCTTCTCTAGTAGAAGCCCTTCCAATCTTGAACAAGCTCGAATTTGTGCAAGTGCTTCTTTCAACGACTAAAGCAAAAGTAGGACATTAGTGGATTAAAAAAAGGAAAAAAGAAGAAGAAAAACAAAAGAACCTTAAAAATATGTAATTTCCATTTATTTGGATCTGAAGAAGGAAAGAGTTTGGACCTAGAACATGACTAAAGTGAACACTTTTACATCATCAGAGCATTGATGTGCACCTCCGCTGGGAACATTTCACTAATTGGTACCAATTGGACAGTTTTGGTGCTTTTGTTCCTCTCTTAGAATTACTAAATTCGAATTTTTCTTGTATGTGTGGACTCAAACATATTATGGACTAGATGCGACCTTGAACAAGTAATCCTTTTAATTGAAGCATCTTAAATTTACCATTTATAATTAAAATAAAAAAAATTAACGATCTTATACACATGTTACAAGCATTTGATGGTCTTACCACCAAGCAATAACTATAAGTAGCTCAGTAATAAAGGATCCATCTTATAATGATCACAAGGGCTATCAGAATTACCAAAGCTCACCTCTATAGTTTCTGGTGTTGTTCCTTCTGGCCCGTTGTCATGAACTTCAGAAGACTTCTGGGAAGCTGTCATCCCATCGAGCTTTTTCTTTAGACTAGATGCTTCAGCATCTATTCTGTGACCATCAAAAATCAGCGAAAGCAAATATCAGGAAACTAGCAGTAGAATAACGTGGACCAAACAAAAGTGAATCCATTGCAACTTCTCAGTGGACACGGGAAATTTTTATAGGACTAATAAATTATCCAACTCAGTTATATCTTCCACTCTCTGGGATGGATTTGCGGGGCAAGACTAAGTCATTGTAGGCATTACAAGTAGAGCAAGCAACTAGCATATTAAGAGCATTGGTTCTATAATAGTATATTATGCAGAAAAATGGAAGGGATTTTTCTTTCCTTTTTTTCTTTCTTTCCCCCTTAGCAGTCAATATTATATTTTTTTTTATAGCCCTGAAATCTCCCAAATCCACTTAGGCTTAAGTTAGAAACTGGAGCCCCCGCCAAACCCTACAATCTTTAGGAAGCTTGATACTCTTGGTTATTTACCCGGTAGGTGGGCTTGAGAAATTGAACCTCAGACCAAACCATAAACCCTGAACAAACAGTAGACTCTATAGAAGCTTAGTTTGATACCTCAAATCCAAGCATACGGGGTGAAGAAAAACATAAAAGCCAAAAGGATAATGACTGTTCATAGTTTTCCCACCTCCCAATATCAGCATTAATCTTCAGCCCAGTAATGGCCCCTTGTGCAAATTGAAGTAATTCCTCCCGCTTCACCTGAAAGAAAAGGGTAAGATGAATGAGTAAGCATTATTTAACATCAAGCAAAAATGGAAAAAGTCCAGAAGCAAATAGAAGAGGTCCATCAAAAACTTGTTAGCAGTATTAGGTCTCCGCATGGACTGGAATGGATATCAGAGTATTACACGTTTTATTCTATGAGCTTTGGCTGACCCTAGTAACAGAAATAAAGAATGTTCAAACTTACGGAAAAAAAAAATGTAAAGAATGAATATTTTCCAACAAAATTGTCCGTCAACAACTCCTAAATCACATCTTTCAAAAAATCTAACGCGTGACAATACTCATTTATTTACCAATACTTCATCTTCATAACTGGAAAAAGCTTTTGCCAGATCCTGTATACTGCTAACTACTGCATTATGAACTTCCTTTCCACCAGTAAGACAAAGCCTGTAAATAAATGAAGCTATATTCAGATCTCTTTCATGCTAATCCTAAGAAATGAATGCTCACAAGTTATTCTGCTATATTTTCCTCAGACAGGGTTACAAACAAATCTCAAAGATTGGAAGAATTCATAGATACAATAAGCATCCTGCAGGGGTATGAAAATGAGGGGATCACCAGCTTTATATTCGTAATGAAATTAAAACTTATCCCCCTGGAGAACTGAAAGTTTCACTTGCATACTCAGGCATCAAATCACTATTATGGTTATGTGAGTGGACTCACCCAAACATCACCGAAAGAAGGGAAACTTCTTCCTCATTTGGGGCTTCAAGAATCTGAGGCACAGAAAAGAGCAAACCTGCGGTTAACCTCCATAATCAGCAATTACAAAGCACTAAACTTACTTAGATTTCATTCTGATGTTAGATGTGTTAGGTAAGTACATTAGATCAAAAACGACAACGCTTTTCCAATTGTCAGTTTCTTTTAATAACTGAACAATTCAAACAGTGATCAAGTGGTACTGAAGCGCAAAAGCTTTTTTCTCTCCTAGAGATATTCTTGTAAATAAAAATATATATATGTATATATATATATATGTATGTATGTATATAAGAATGTCTAAGAATTAGAAACCCAAATCAAAACAAAAGTAATTTATAAATTATGAGATATGAGATTATTATGTTGATTAGGATTTACAGGTATTATCCCAAATTAACCGGTAAGTATATCTAAATAAGGAGGCTTTTATGTCAGAGATTGACTAGAGAGTACCTTTTGACAGAAATTCCTGTGAAAACACTAATTATACTTGCTTAGTATGCTCTCGAAGTATGGAAATTCATAAGTATACAGTATACAGAAATTCTGAACCTGTACAACCTACTCCTGATGTTAATCCAAATAACCATATGCATATTCCAGAGTTAGTATATCATACCATAGACAATGCTATGCCCTCCAGAGCTTGACTTTGAAGGAAGACATCTCGAAAATTCATTGGTTCACCCCCCACATCAGAGTCATAATACGAAGCCTATTCAGAATAATATGACAAAAATTTCAGCAGTTCATTCAAACTTGGCACCAATATTTTTGTGCAAATGGTTTCAGATAACAATTACAAACTGAATCTACTGAAAATGCATGGCAATAAAACAAATGACTGACAGGACTTAAATCCTAGTCCGATTATTAAAGTGAGACTGAGTGGTTTTAAACTAACACTGGTGTTCACCTTCAGGTACATAAGTAAATTATAGAACCCATCTATAAAAGTGATTCAATGCACTTTTTCTTAAATTTCTATAATAGGCGCCTGCTATAATACATCCTCGAAGTGAAGAGTTAACTTGACTTAGCCTAAAAGTCTAAAGCTTCAACTAATAAGGTTAGCCCCCCGCGCTACAAAACATTTTCAGATCATGTTAATCTGGCCTTGGATTCAACAAACATTATGACAAACGGAAAACACTTCTCTCACCATGGATGGTCTTCTTGGACTTTCCTTCGAATCATCAGAAGCAGTATGTTCATTGAGTGTGTTTTCTTTGTCCTCAGAGCTATCATGAGACAACTTTTCAGTGTCTTTAAGTGCAATCAACCACCTTTTCAGTAACAGAGTTCTTTCACTGCCCCTGCAAGAGACAGCTGCTTCTTCTAATCGTTTTATAGTCTGCTTGGCACTTCTGAAATTCCTAGCACCCTGGATATGCATAAAATTCAAGAAAATGAAATCAAAACACACAACTAGATACCAAACAGGTAAACATTCGGTGAGCAATTAGAACAATGATAAGGATAACTTTAGTGAGCTAGTTATCTCTATTTAATAAATCCTTCATTTGGTGGTTTCCCTGTTTCAGAGCTGTGATAATTTTTCACTTTCCTGAAATACAACTCATGATCATATCATTGAACTATTTTTTCCCCTTTCAGAAAAGTAAAAAGCTCTCAAGCTTCCACACCTACTGTCTACATTTTCAGTTTTTCTAAACACTTTCACAATGTCTTTTTTTACTTCAATTTAGTACTTGATATATTATATTACCCAGTTCTCAGGTCTCAGCAAAATCATTTTCTGTACTGTTCTTTAACCTTTTCTCCAATCATAAAACAAAATTTCTAAAGCCACTAATAACAGAAAACCGAAAAGTAATTGGGCGAATCAGAATGAAACCAATCAGGCAGGTCCGAAAAAGATCAGACACTAGCTAAATTGAAAAATAGAACGGCTTAGGAGTCTCGAATCGATCAAAAACTCATATTTCACACGAAATCCCTAAATGCAACTGTTAATCAAATTCAGCTAATATTTCTTTTCCTCACATACAAAACCAAAAGCAAGCAATGCGAATATCGTTGCAAGATTCCAAATTGAAGAACGTGCAAGAAAGCAATCGTCCGACCTATTACCCCCGGAAATACAAACAAATTTACATCAAAACGGGCAAAAAAGGAAAAAGAAATTAACGACATTGAGAAATCGAGAAACTTACTATTCGATCCTGAAGGATTTTGGCGCCACCGGCGACGGCTTGGCCGGCGTGATGGACGACGGAGTCGGCGTAGTTCTTGACGGTCCGAGAGAGATTGTTCTTGTTCCCAACCTCAACCGCTTTGTTCACGGCGGACCTCAGCCACGACATTTTCCCGGCAGCTAAACAGGGAAATCGGAGGAAAAGGAACGGAATTTAGGATGGAGATGGAGAGAGGAGATCGCGGGACTAAGGGTTTAGAGGAAATGGAGGTGTAAATGTGACGTTAGTGTTGGAACGGTGCGTGTTGTTTTGTGTCTGTTTGATAGGGCCATTGACAATGGGGCAGAGAGAGAGAGAGACGACGGTGGTCGATGAGAGAAGTCAGCGTGGAATGGCCACGTCTCGTCTCGGACGTGGAACGACGTCGTATTTGTCATTCGTGTTGTCGGATCTCGAACCAATGGTCTTTTTTTTTTCAAATATATATTATATTTAGCACCCAAAAAATATAATAAGATACCTACATACCATTCAAAAAAAAATATAATAAGATATGTTACATTTATTTATACTCGCACAAAAAAAAATATAATAAGATACCAACATACCGTTAAAAAATATATATATAATAAGATATGTTACATTTATTTATACTCTAATGTATAATATAATTTGAAATGTGAAATCTAATTTTTTTTTTTTTTTTATAATCATTAGATTTTAAAAATTGTAAAATTAAATTTTTATTTTTAAAATAATTTAAAATTGTAAAAATTATAATAATTATATAAAAAAAATAAAAATATCAACTAATAACAATTTGTCACGTACAATGCTTGGTTAACCATAAGGTCGGAGGTTAAAGCCCTCCTTCTAGCGTTGTTTTATAAAGTTTTAAGTTATAGCTTATAAAAAATATATATACACACACATAAATAGCAAATATGTTAGAATTTTAATCATAAAGAGAATTTTTGTGCACTTGATCTGTCATACGATCCTATTGATTTCTAGGAGGATTTTTTTTTTCCCCAAACATTAAAAAGTGAAAAAAAGAAATTTTTTATAAAAAAAAGTACAAAAGAAGACATAAAAAAAGAAAAAAAAAACAGAAAACAGAAAAGGAGACGAAGAACAAAAATGAAAACGAACACTTGATGAACAACCTTCGATTACAGGTACGGACACAATGGTTTCCACCGGTGGTGAAGCCTCCGCGCTCCACGGAGACTTTCTTCCTTGCCGGTGCAGATACCTTTTGAAAACATTTTTTTTTTTTTCTGAAGCGCTGATTGAAATAAGTTGGTGAGTTCTTTTTTTTTCCTCTAAAGTTATGAACAAAGAAAGTCGAGACCACTAATTATATGGGATACTTGAGCTGATAGAAGTACATTAATAATTGAGTTGATGAAGTGACACGGGAGGGTTGTGAAAAAAGATAATAAATGAACTGTCTTGTTCACTTCGCTGATTCGAGTTTAGAATTTAAATTTTTTTACAGTAAAAAGCTCTCACAAACAATCACATCTAACTTTTTTGTTACAGTAAAAAACTCTCACATAAAGTTACATCTCAACTCGAATTCTAAACTCGAATCAGCGAAGTGAACAGGGCCTAAGACGTCATTTTTTCTGCAACTTTGCATCCATGATATTTGCCGATCTAGGTTAGTTTAGTCGGTATTTATTGGGTGATCGTTGTTTTCGATGTATTGAATGAGCTTATTCATGTTCTATAAGGACAGTAAATAAAAATATGTATTTTTGAATAATGTACAATATGTACGTCATTAGCAAAAGACACATACAAGTCAAATATACTTCTTGTTAAGAAGACGTGCATTCTTGCCCACGAGGGAGAAAAAGAAAAAGCTTAGCTTGAAAAGGTGGGTTAATTTTTTATAGCGTGCACTAATGAACGAAGAAGTATTTCATGAATAGAACTACTGATTTCGATTAATTTTTTTTATTGTTGCTATGTCAGTATTTACCATTGATAATAATTACAATTATTACTTTTAATCGTAGATTGATACTAAACTGACTTTTAGTAATTACTATAAAGACTAAAATAATATGGTGTGGTAGTAGTTAAGGATGCACAAAATAACCGGAAAACCGACGAAACTGACTGAAATCGAATAGAAAAAGTCGACGGGAGCGGTTTCTGACGTCGTCGGTCGGTGAACCGAATCGTACATCTTGATTTTCTTTTTTATTTTATTTTATTTCTTTTATATGTCAAACCCCTAAGTAGAAACTAGGTCCAAGCCCAAAACTTTGGCTTTTGAACAAAGTTTGAAAAAGGAAAGGGAAATTTGATGGGAGAAGGTGCAAAATAGCATTTTTGGTTCGGTGGATTGAAAATAGTAACATATATTGAGAAGATGGAAGTTTACAGCATATTTTCCCCAAACATTTTCAAAACCCCGAAAATGCCCCGACCACTCTTCACATGTTGTCATATCCGGAGCGCCATCGCCAACACCGGTGGTGCGTGAGATGTCAACGTCGACGATTCGCGATGCCAGCCTTCTTCTCCGGCGCCGATTCGAGATGCCGTCGCAGGGATTTCCGTCGTAATCTCGTCGCCTGAACTTGGAACAATGTGGGCAATCTCCTCGCCAGAACTTGGAATAGCGCAGACAATCTCCGAGCTGGAAAGTCAGAAGAACGCAGTCGATCTCCTCCGTGCAACCTGAGTGGTCAGACTATATCTCTGTCAACGGCGACGGCGGCCAAGATTCGTGACGTTGAAGACGAGAATCTCAGATTGGACAACATCCTCGCCGAGACAAATGGAGGTTCGATAGTGCAGAGAGAGACGAGAGAGAAGGAGAATGAAATAGATGAGAGAGATAGAGAGGGGAGTAGAGAAACAGAGAGTGAAAGAAATTGAGAAAGAAACGGTAAAATAAAACATGGCAAAGATTGGTAAATCATATAATACATATGTATCATAAACTTCAAAATGCTATCTACTAAATATATTAATTAGTTATGTTATATAATTCAATTAAGGTGTGAAAATATGTTATTTGCCGCATTTTTCAAATTTGTATTCACACCTCATTCTTTTATAAAGGCAACCCTTTCTATAAAAATTATTTTTTTAATACGATTATATCCCTGAACTCTAATAGGTTTTAAATAGAGTGACAATTCGTATTAATGGGTTATGAATCTGTTCAACCAGTTTATTAATCGTGTCAGAGAACATCAATACACACATAATTTATTTATTAAACGTATCAAAAATATCAATTCAAATACGATCCGTTTATTAATTGTGTTAATTTTATTAACCTACATAACTCATTAAAATGAATATATTAAATAAATAATTGACATAATTAGGATTTAAATAACACCATCATTAACATGTTAATAGTTTTATTAGTCAATTTTTCTTTTCTTTTAAGATAAGTAAGTAAAATTTATCTAAAATTTTGAAATATATATTATCTGTGTTTAATGCATCATTTAAACTTGTATATTATATCTTATATAATTTAACTTATAAATAACATATATAATTAATCGTATCGATTCGGGTCACTTCATATTAGAAGGTTAATCCTAACTCAACTTGTTTGTTAATGGTGTCAACCCGTTTATGACTCAAACTTATTTATAATAAACCTAAACCCGCTAATTTCGTACAGATTAAAGTTCTGTTGTCATGTCATGACTCAAATTGCCACCCATAGTTTTAAATGTTTTGTTTCACTATTAATACACCCACGAATAATAACTTATTTTCTGTTAGATCAAATTATTAACAAGTAAAAAAAGAAAAAATCATTCACGGATGAAGACCATCAATTTCAAATCTAAACACAAAACTTGAAAGCTTTTTTTTTTTTTTTTTCAAATGGAACTTGAATGCATTTTCAAATCCATCTACACTGAAATTCTTCTCTTTGCGTCGTCCTGCATCAATTTGTCTTGTGTTTCTTTGATTCTTTGTCGAGTTTTTATTTTTTTACTATATCTATGAATAAACTCGTTTTGGTAGAATTATTATTATTCGCATCAAAAACATCATAACAAGTGGATAAAAGCAATGGAGGAGTGGGATGAAGAGTAATGAGAAAGTTGAATAAATAAATAAAAGTGGAAGAAAACAAGCAGAGGGGACATGGATTCAAAATTGAGGGAGAAAGTTTCTTGTTTAAAAGAGTAGGAGAAAGAGGGTGAGAACTCTCGAGTGAGAATTGAAAAAAGGAAGGAGTTAGTGAAGAAAATCTATTGGAAAAAGGAGTGCACGAGAGGTATCGAAAATGCTTCTTTTTCCTTTCTTGAAGGTGTCCTTTTTAGTCATTTTACTATTTAAGGGGTGCATTTATATTTTTTAGGGGTACGAATAAAATTTTCCAAAGGAAAAAAGAGATGACTTCTAACCTCAAAACCAGTAGCGAGTCCTCCTCCTCCTTCTTCGTCTTTATTTCCTCCGTCCAACCCTAGAGCCACCGCCATCTATTTCGTTGTTCTCCTCTTTCCATTACAGCCATGCAAGTATAGTCGGTGATTGAACCGAAACCAAATCAAAAGTGACGGTCACTAAACCTTCAGTTTTTACATTTTTCAGTCGGCGTCGGTTTGTATTTTTTAAAAAACTGATGATATCGGTCGGAGGTTGAACGACAAAAATTGTCAGTCACTGATTGATGAACAACACTAAATTAGTCTAGTAGTTCAAAATAAAATAATTAAACTATACTTTTATTTTTTAGTGCTACGAAAAGATTAGCTTTGAAAAAGAAAGAAAGTTAGAAACAAAATCACCATGACTGCAAGCCAAAATAGAAAAATTAATTTCATAAAAAAATAGAAAAGTTAATAGTTACAGTTTATGGAGTCAGATTGAAATTTGATGTGGTTGAGAGTAAAGCCTAATGATTGTTACACACTTAGGGGTTTAAATCCTCCAACTCACAAGTGTAAATGAACAAAAAAAAAAAAAAAAAGAATGGATCTAATGTAAATGTTTTAGTACTTTTCAAGTTTCGACTGAAGGGTCTATTTTTCATTTCCAACTATAGTAACATTTTATATGAATTTTCGAGTGCTCTCCAAATTGTCAATTGATGAATCCTATCAAACGCAATCAAGAATTAAAATATCTTTTTATTTCCATTTATATAATACCGCATTGATGTAGTTGTTTTATTTCGGAAACTAAAATTTCCATTAATCAAATATTTTTTATGCTAAAAAGTAAGAAGATATTTCATACGTTTCCGAATGTAAGAAGATATTTCATACATTTTTATATTCCTAAATCTTAAGTGTTGATTTTTTTTTCAAAAATAAATACCTAATTTTATATCATTAAAGACGATATAGAGATATGTGTCTTTTTATAGATTGCAATTACAGAAATGTTAAGATCATTTGTTTATAAATTGTAATTACAGAAATGTTAAGATCACTTATTTGATCATTCTCTTTTTTACTTTTTAACTTGATCACTTATCATGTGTCCTCCCATTTTTTAAGAAAAATATATCGTAATTAAAGACTAGAGAAATATTAAGATTACTTATTTAATCACCCTCTTTCTCACTTTTTAACTTCTCTATTTATCATGTGTCTTTTTACTTTTCAAAAAATTGAAGCCTAATTGTAAAACCCATTTTTTGTCTTTTATTACAATTTTGTTATTATTTAATATTATTAAAAGTTTAGCTTTTTTTCATGGAACCCTCTTCAATTTTTTGTGATTGACAGATTGATCTCTTAAAAATTGTTTAGTTAAGAGATTCGCATTTCAATTTAAATTATGATTCATAATTCACTATAGTATTTTCTTTTAAAAAAATATACATAAATTAAAAATAATTTTAATCTAATAATTTTAATTCAGGAACTAAATGTCTTCTAAATTTTTTTTTTTTTTCCGATAATAGGCTCTTTAACGTTTGAAATTCATTACAATTTTGATCCAATTGAAAATGCTGTTAGATTTTTGGACGGAATTGACCACGTACAAGTCACGTGATCCACTAATGAGGGCAACCGATGTCATTTGCCCGGTTATCTAATCTCCATAATCAGCGAAAACAAATAAAAAAAGGGGGAAATTTTCAACTCCATATTCAGTCTCATATTCAAACTTACTAGCCAAAAAAAAAAAAGCAAATTTAAAAACTCATGAACAAGCTTAAGAAAACAAACATAAAACCCAAATTTTGTCCCCATACAACTTGCAGATCTTCAACCAATTGACTTTAAAAAAAAATTTAACTAATAACAAAAGAAAAACGCAGATCTTCAATGCTCTATCCTCGGTTCAGAAATCTAATCTTCAACCCATAGACTTAAAAAAAATTAAATAAATAAAATAAAAATCTTTAACCAATAACAAAAGAAAAATGCAGATCTTCAATGCTCCATCCCCAGTCCAGACAAATCAGACTTAAGATTAGAACATCAACAAACAACTCAAATCAACTCGTTCCATTAATATAACCACTGTCACTATATCAATCATCGTCGTCGACGGTTCAAGCAATCTCAATCAAGCCAAAACTGGAAAAAGAAAATAGAGAGAAAAGAAAACCACCAAGTCAATTAGTCAAGTCCCTCATTGGAAAAAGAAAACTTTTTACTGAGAAAACCCATAAGCAATTAACTCGTATTCACCTTTGCGCACCCCAGCCTCTCGTGAGCCGGGATCCGCCGTCCTTACCAGCCTCCGGTGAACCGAGATCTGTTGAGCCCAGATCCCCACGCGAAATCAAACGACAGATTCCCAAATCCTTCCTGAAACCTTCCAATACTTCATCACCAAATTAAAGTCACGAGGATATAAATGAGAAGAAGAAGCATGCTCGACTTTTGGGGTGGGGTTTGGAGTTCTTAGATCTGAGATCAATAGGGGGAAGATCAACTTCTGGGGGAAAAATGGAGGCCTTTTTTTATCTGCTTGGTTTTGATGCCTTCTTGGTAGATATATTTGGTTTTGTTATGTGAAATTGGTTTTGATTTTGATAGACATATTTTTGTTTGGTTTTGATCTTTGGTAGATCTGGTGTTCTTAGTTCTGAGTGTCTTTTTTTTTTTTTTTTAGATTAGGAGTTTTTTTTTTTAAATATAATTTTAGTTTTTTTTTAAAAAACATAATAATAAAATTTATGAAAATGAAAAACACACTCATTATCCTTATTAGTGTGTTATTTGAGGCTCACATGGGCGACTCTGACTAAAAATTAACGGCATTTTCGATTGGATCAGAATTGTAACGAATTTTAAATGTTAAGGACCTGATTGCAAAAAAAATTAAAGACTAATTTGCCAATCTCAAAAAATTGAGGGGGTCTCGTGAAAAAAAGCCTAAAAGTTTCACTGTACTATTTTTGTCCACATTTGTTATTGTTTTATATGCATATTAGAATATATTTTGAAAAAGTAAAAAACAAAGTGATAACGTTTTTGTGAAATCTTTTAAGGTGTTAATGGGTAAACAGATAAGGGTTGGTGGAATGCATTTATTGAAATAACCTAACTCTTTTTTGGTAAGGTCCGCATAGAAATATGCTATTGACGTGAAATAACTGTATTTTTTTAAAGATAAACAAGCCCTTAATTAATTTGAAACAAAAATAAATAGAAGCATAGTTTCAATAAATGAAACCCCATGGACCATATTCTTCTCTAATTTGGGTTATGCTCACACCTCAAATGGTACCCTCAAGCTTATTTTTATGACATACAATGTCTAAACTATCATTTTTATTAATTAAATAAAAATTAATGTATTTTTAAAAAAAACTTAAAATAATTTAAAAACACTAAAATATTTAAAAAAAAACAACAAAGAGTTCATAAATTTTTCAAGATTTATTAGTTTTTAATTAATTAAATAGAAGAGTATAAAGGTTATTTTACGTCTCAAAAATCAACTTCAAAATACCAATAAAATATTTTTAAAAATGTCAAGATACCGCTTTAATATTATGTAAAAACATAATATATTAAGGACATGTTTCGCTACGATACAAGTCATTAAAATGATTTTATCCCTTTTAGCTTTTATTACTCGTGGATGTTATTTGTTGTCGTTGTGACATTTCGAAGGGAGCAGGCAGACCAAATAACGCTTTCAGAGAAGATCAGTGATACTTTCAGAAGAGAAAAAAGATCATCACGAATTATTAATACGTATTGAATATTGTCTTAAATATTTTTAATTAATTAATAAATTAATAAAATAAATATAAAAATTCTGAAACAAAATATCTCCTACCTTCGCCAACTGGATCCCCAAATATCCAAAGTCCAACCACAGAAAATTAAAAAGAACTAAGGAGGACAAACGTAAGATTTTAAAACAACACAGAGAATTCAAAGTTACGAATTTGGAAAAGTGATTTATTGAGCAGAGAAAAATAAGGACACACAACACAACGTACATTGTATCTTACGACAATAAAAATAAACAAATTTCTACCCCCCATAAATTCCCGGCAACTAGATGGGAGGCAGTTGGCACGTCCTAATTACGTTTAGGTTATTCGAGACTGGACCTTCCTAGGATCACAAAAGTTTCTCGAACTTCTTGAGCTAAGTTTTCAACTTAGAAGAAATATCTTAAATATATGGCGAACCCTCGATGCGACAAGACACAAAGGTCTTGTCTTAGAAAAGTTTTTAATGGGAATATTGAAAACATACCCCAAAAAGACGAACAAAAGGAGTTTTTTGGATTTTGCTTGAAAGCTTTTAATATTTTTGGCGTCTAGAAGTTCTAGGAACGTTCTCCATTTTTCTTGTGTCTTGTTCTGTATACTTTTCAAGATTGAGAATGAGAAGTTGAATTGATTCATTAATTATAAGAACAATTTTAATCCACAAGGTGTCGTCTCTTTTTAAGTCTCTTCATTTAAAAGGAAAACAAATATCAAAATATAATTTATATTTTTCTCTCTTTTTGTCGTTGCGGCCGGGTTAATAACTTTTGTTGTGACAACTAACGAGTGAGGTGCCATCTAGCAAATTTTTAGACTTTTCAAATCATGGGATAAAAAATTTCAAAGTAACTAAAATTATCCAAACTCTCCCTATAAATATCCACGTTCTTTGATCCCTCAAATGCCCATAAGCAAAAGCATAACCATAGAATAGATATCAGTGACACAAAAACAAAGCTGCATTATTGTGAAATGGCCAGTGCTACACAAGTATCGCCGCTGGTCACCGGATTAGAGGTGGAGACACAGTGGTTTCCGCCGGAGGTTAAGCCTCCGGGATCGGCAAAGACTTTCTTCCTCGCCGGTGCAGGTACATTCTTTGATATAATAGAGACTTTTGTTTTAGGACTCCAACAGCCCGCTTGATTATACACTTTTATTAAAATTTGTATTAATTATAAAAATTCTCCTCAACTTATAGTAAATAACAGATTTATAAAACTAAATTAAGTTAATACCAAATTTTAAAACTATTTGAAATAGATGGTAATTTATTACGTAAATGATTCATTTACAAAAAAATAATTTACGTGGTAAAAAATCTTTATTTATGTGGAAAATAATATTTTTACTAATCGTAAAAAAAAAAATATTACTTAAAAAAAGTATTTTTTCTAATCTTAAATAAAATATTTATAGGTAAACTACTATTAACTTCAAATAGTTTTAAAATTTACTATTTACTTCAATTATTTTCTATAATCTGTTATTTACTTCATTCTTCTTAATTATAACTCTCGCAACAATTTGCATCTTGATCTCCATGCCCCTCCACTCCCTATGAAGGGATATTATATCTAAGACATTGCGGCATAAAATTTTGAATATCAGATTTGGGAGGGTAAAGTAATAAATTTTAGATCAATTAAATTAAGAGTGTAAATGAAATATTTTATAACATTATATTCATAAAATTCCCGGGCCTTAAGTAGTGCCGTTGAAATAAGTTAGTGATAATTGTTCTTTAACTTTTGGAAGGTTGGAGAGGGATGGAAGTCGATGGAAAATTCGTGAAGTTCACAACGACCGGAGTGTACTTGAAGGATGAAGCCGTGTCGTGGCTCGCCGCTAAATGGAAAGGAAAGACTGCGGAGGAGCTGCTGGAATCCGACGAATTCTTCCAGGACATAGTCACAGGTAGCCAACTATTTTCTATTTTCTAACTTTTTTATTTTTCTTTTTCTTTACACATTCAATTTGCCTTGCCTTGAAAAAATAAATAAATAAATAAAACAAAGAAACATAAGTTCTTAGCTAGAGCTAAAATTCTCTGACCATATATAGATGGAAAATTCTATTCAACCTAGAAACCTGTCTAATTTCATAATTATGATAGATATATATATATATATATATATATAATGTGACTATATCTATACGTTTCGGCTTTCCAATATTTCATAGGCCCGTTTGAGAAATTCTATCGCTTGACTCATATAAGACGGTTGGAGGGGGAAGAGTTCTCGGGGAAGGTAGGGGGACACTTGGCCGGCATGATCAAATCCGCCGGCGCTTATGGCGAGGCGGAAGCGAAAGCCGTTGACAAGTTTATTGTGCTCTACAAAGACAAAGAGTTCCTCTCAGTTGGATTCTCCAATCTTTACCATCAGTCACCAACCGGATCACTTACGGTTCGTAAAACATGATAATTACAAACGTTATTTTGGAAAGCAAGTTTTTCTACTGTCGTACCATATGGAGTTGCCAATCATTTTTTATGCAAGATCAAGCGAAAGCCGTTGACAAGTTTATTGTGCTCTACAAAGACAAAGAGTTCCTCTCAGTTGGATTCTCCAATCTTTACCATCAGTCACCAACCGGATCACTTACGGTTCGTAAAACATGATAATTACAAACGTTATTTTGGAAAGCAAGTTTTTCTACTGTCGTACCATATGGAGTTGCCAATCATTTTTTATGCAAGATCATACGTATTCTCAATATATATATATATATATATTTTTTTTTTTTTTGGTGGTCTTTGTTATTGAGAAATATAGGTAACCTTCTCCGACGATGGATCTTATATACCAGAAGAACGTGGAGTTGTGATAGAGAACAAGCCCCTTTCGGAGGTAATGCTGTACTCTATTATTGGGAAGAACGGTGTTTCTCCTACGTTGAAACGAAGCCTGGCTGAAAGGCTCTCTCAACTTATGAAACAAAAAGAGCACTTATACTAATTATACAATTACGACCGCATACGTACGGGATCTAATTTGAAGCTGATGATCAGAAGTGCAGTAAGTGATTTGATGAAGTGATGGAAACATGAAAGTTTGTGGGGAAAAATAAATAAATTAATAAATATGAACCCCATTAGTAAAGATGTAATATTTTTCTCTGTAGCTTACATCCGTGATATTAATAAAAATGTTTGAATAATGAACTATGTACATCATTAGCAATATGCCAATACATGATATACCAGAGAGTCCAACAAGTCCATACCTTGGTACATTAAAGAAAAAGAAAACAGGAAAAAAAAACATTTGGCATCAACATTACATGGTTATGAATCACGATCGGTGAAACCTTGAATCATTCCTTTTTTGTTTTTTGTTTTGTCTCATAGAAAAATGGAAAAAAGATATCAAAATCTCATAGAAAAAATCTCTGAACCGTTCAACAAGGCGGAGTGAACCTCCTATGCATCCCTCAGCTCCTCGCTACGCTATATATTGCTAGGGCCATATCTCATGCACTGTCACAGTGCCCCTGTTAGAAAAATGATTTGTTAAGCTTTTTAAAGGCCCATTTTGAGGCCCATATTCGGATGGGACCCAATAGGTTCTTAGTACGGGTCTCGATGGATTTGTGTTGTCCGTCGCAAGGAGATCGAAATCGAGTATTCATACACTCAAAATGATATTTGAGTGAATGAGAAATTGATGGTCTAAGTATGTTACTTGAAATGTTAAATGTAAAAGGAAATTACAAAAATCTCACATTGGCTAGGAGTGAGGTCAAGGTGGTTTTTATAAGTGATTGCACTTTGAAACCTAGATAAGCATGTATATCAGAGAGGTTCTCTCACGCACAGAGGGGGTGTGAATCACAATCCCGGCGGGTTAGGGCCTAATGTTAGACCGGAAAACCCGCTCCGTGTGAGCTTTTTTTTGCAATTTTCTTTTTATTTTTTACTTGGCCAAGATTGTCCAGATTTAGGCAAAACCGTTTGGAGGTTAAGGAAGGCTTAATGGGATGCTTAATGCCGAGTTTAATTGTGTTGTTAATGGCTGGTTATTGAACCAATTTTTCCATGAACCTAGATGTGAATTGTGGCCTGGTTCATGAAACATTTTTGCACAATTAAATTGGTGATTAAGACCTTTGATTTTTTTGTCTCATAACCTACATTCTAGAGCCTATAAAAGGCGTCTTCCACATGAAGAGCAAGTACACTTGCACATAAACGCAATCAGCTCTTCTTCCTCGAGTTCTTCCTTCTTTTTTCCAGTTTCTTTTGTGTTCCTTGTAGTTCGGGTTGGTGATAGAGGGAAGGTCCGAGTTCTAGTTCGCCGGACGGTTCTGATAGTGCATCGAGTTACCGTCGTTGTCGTTGTATCCTGAGAGACAGACGTCCAACGTTGCCTCAAGCACTCACCGGAGGGGACGAATCTGTTTTAAGGAAAACGTGGTTCACGTGCCTCGACATTCATACAATTCTGAGTTTGGTAGAAAGGTTGAATTTGCATTGTACAATTTCGGTTTTTCATTTCCCTATAGTTTTGATCTTCTTTGTATTATCTATATTATCTAACAGCCCCCACTCCAGCGGATCTCTGCCATCGTTCCGCGACATGCTCTCAAAAGATATCCCCGCCTTTGTCGCACCTGTAGATCTCCATCTCCATATATAGAGACACCACTCCATAAACATCCATACATGTTGACCCGCTCGTCCCCAGAATTCCATCAAACGCCCCACACCACCCTACATATTACTCATGTGACAATGCCTGCGCTCTTTGTCTCCGTCAAGCCGACCCTTATCTCCGTAGATGAGATTGATTCATTTTTTTAAAAAAGAAAATGTAAGATGTAGAGGGTGAAATCTACAATTGATTAGATCAAGGGCCAATCACTGAATTATGAGTCATCGATTAGTGAAGTTCATCTGCCGCAAGAACGAGAGCGTTAGTAAATGTGAAAGTAAAAAAAAAAAAGTAGTAAAAAGACACAGAAATTTATAATGATTCTCCTGATAATATATGGTACATCCATTGTAGGGCTCTGGTGGTTTGAAAAGCGTTACAAGAGTCATTTTAAGAATTACGGGATGAGAAAGGAATGTATGCTGGAAAATACAGTAAATAATAGGAAAATATGTTGTAAGTGAGCGTGGATGCTTTAACGTGCTGGAGAATATGTTGTGTCATGTCCAAATGCCTTGTATTTATAGTTGATGAGGCTCTATGAGTTATTTCCTGATTCTCTACGTGATATGACCTTCAATTCATGATATTCCCTTCCTTCTTAGTCATTGCATGACTTTTTTTAACTAGTTTTGTCCATAATTGACCGGTCAATCATAATTTATTGCCTATTTTGAATTGATCCGGCCTCTTTATTGCCTGATTACTGGAGATATAGTTTTTTATGTGGAAGACAATCAATTTCGTTCAATAAGAGGGTATCTTGCAGCCTAAATCAACTGTTGACATTTTTCCTCCTTAATTCCTCTAGCAAAAGTAGTCGATTTCCTTACTTTTCTGGATGATTCTGTTGCCAAATTCCGTATAAGGAATGTCTTGAGGATATTCTCTCTTGACTTGATGTCCAAGGCCGCCTGTCAACTTGTGGGATCGACCGGTGGAGTTGATCAGTCGACCAGTCAATTCTGTCTGCTCGGAGAGTTGTAGTGACTCGTCTAGTGACCTGTCAAAACCTAAATTATCACGTGTACGGAGAAAGATAAAGTACGAAATCTGACCCGAACATAAGATCATATTGATAAGAAAGTTAAAGAAATGAAAATCAAAAGCTTGAGAAAACTACAATATCCACAAGGCACATAAGAAAATGAAAAATAAAGAGACAAATCCGGTAGATTCGGACCTGGGCACTGGACATTGGACACGTAATAGAGACCAGGCTTATTTTTTACTTTTCCAATCTGTATTGGTGCTTTTTTTTTTTTTTTTTTTTTTTTTTTCCAATTTTTTTTTGGGTTTTTTTTTTTTTTTTTTTTTTTTTTCCAATAAGTGGAAATCTGTATTGTTGCTAGTAGATGACAATGAATCGTTATTAATTGGATTATATTATGTTATACGTTTTTGAACTCTTCACTCCACTATATATGCAGTTCGGACCCCATGACTAAGCGGGGAATTAACTATGTACCAACTAACACTCAATGATGAGGAAAAATCACCCAACAAATCAAATAACGATATCATTGAAATATCATTACGTGAAGGAGCATCATTAGTTTTATGATTATATTGATTTATAAATCTATTTTAAAATAGAGAGTAACACAGATGTTTGTTTCATATTATAATCCAATACAATATTGTCCTTTTTGAAGAATTTTTACGATTCCGCTGTGAATGTATTATAAATTTACGTTACTCCTACCACCCTAATATTATTTTCGTTTTATGCGTTATTACGTTGTCGTTAATTAGTCGTCTATCAAATAAGAATTTGTTTTATATCTTATATAATATATAAATCAGAATTTGTTTAACATTGGAAAGAAAATATATAAATGGTGATGAGGAGTTGCTAATCTGACCAGAATAAAAGCTAAATGCCGGGACTTTGGAAGAGATCAGCCACAACATTGCTCAGGCAGCAAACCTCACTTGGGCAAGGGGTAGATCCGGCGAGGTGCAACGCTTGAGCGAGGAGTTTGACAGATAAAGTGAAGGTGGTGCTTGGGTGAGAAGGTACAGATCTGGCCGGGCCGGCGAGAGTTGTCAGAGGAGCAGAGGTAGGGGCAAAGGTTGGCAGAAGAGGAGATGATGGGTTATGCCATTAGTCAGAAATGATGAAGTTGGAGGCTTCCAGATAAAATACACAGAGGGTAATAATGGAAAATATAGATAAATGCCTATTGGAATGACCATTCATCTTACCCCACAAAGGAATGACACTTCCTTAAAAATGAGCAAAAAGTCATTCCAATGGAATGATTATTCTGAGAATAAAATCCAACCAAACACAGAGACTTGCATTTCTTTTCTTTCCTTTCCTTTCCATTACCATAATAAGGAAAATCCACCCAACAAATCAAATAACGATATCATTGAAATATCATTACGTGAAAGAGTATCATTAGTTTTACGATTATATTGATTTATAAATAGATTTTAAAATAGAGAGTCACGCAGATGTTTGTTTTATTATAATCCAATACAATATTGTCCTTTCAGAAGAATTTTTACGATTCTGCTGTTAATATTTTATAAATTTACGTTACTCCTACCACCCTATTATTTTTGTTTTAAGTGCTATTACGTTGTCGTTAATCAGTCGTCTGTCAAATAAGAATTTGTTTTATATCTTATCTTATATAATAATATAAATCAGAATTCAGCTCGTATACCTCTTATTTGTATCTTTCTATAATATTATAACACCTCAATTAAAAATTTATTAATAACATAACATTTTAATTAATATGACGATTAATACGGTTTCCTAAACTACCCCATTTTAGCGCCAAAATAACTCACATCCATAAAGTAATACATGATTGTGTACACGTTTATGTAAAACACCGTGCTTCTTGAAAGATGGTAGAAAAGGCATATATGTATGTGGTATGGAATGGAAATCAAATAAAGAGAAATCACATATTATCATGGATTCATGTAGAAATGCCAAATAACTTCTGAAAGGGAAATGAACCTATATCCCAATTTTTAAAAGTCATATATTTGCTCCTACTATGCACTTTGTGCATGGATAGAATTGCCACCTGCTCAAAATAACAAATGGACACTTTTGTAAAAACACATTCTTTTAAGAAGTTCATTTGTCAGTGTTGATCATATTCATGTTTCAAGGTTTACGGGTTGCAAATCTTTGAACCTAGCGAAAAATTATGAGGTTGCAAGATTTGGGACCTTCAAAAATAATAAATAAAAAAATAGAGTTGTAAGTTTTTAAAACTCTAAAAAAATCTTGAGGTTACAATATTTAGAAACTCTAGAAAAATCAAAATAGAGTTGTAAGTTTTATAACTCTACAAAATTATGGGGTTACAAGATTTAAGACCTCAGAAAAATCAAAATAGAATTACAAGTTTTTTTTTTTTTTTTAAAAAAAAACTCTACAAAATCATGAGGTTGCAAGATTTAAAACTTCTAAAAAATATTGAAATGGTCTAATCGTTATGGTACAGCCCAAAATATATATATATTTAATGAATCTAATCATGATAGTACAATTTAAAATATTGTTATAATTTTAGGTATTGACTTACAAAGTGCAACCCGAAATTAAAAAAAAAAATAGTGATCACTTCATACAGAAGAGTGTTTCCGTTTCCTGCAAGAAAGTAAAAGGAATTAATCAAAAGATTGAAGCAAAAAAAAAAACTGACCAATGATGAAAGGAAAGGCCAAAAAGCAATTACCTTTTTTTAAAAAGAAGCCAAATAAATAATTTAGAAGATGGCTCCGTACGTAAACCAAAGATGGAATGCAATTAAAACTTCATAAGAGGCAATTGATGTATAATAAAAAAAATGATGATGAATTCAATGTTTACCTGTTGCCGACTAAAGCTTTGATGGAGTTGTGACTTTCTTCTCTACACACACATATATATGTTAGCCAAAAAAGTATCTTCGGTCACCTTTTTTTTTTTTTTCTGAAATCCAAACAGATTTGGGAAAAAAGTATATGTGTATTACATATCTGTTAAGATGTGATCAGTTTCCAAAAATCACGGAAAAGAAAATTATAAAATTAAAATTTGGCCCCAAAAACATTCAAAGATGTCATTCACCTCCCAATTAAAAATTCACAAATTTTCAAACTTTAAATTTCAAATCAAGAACTATGAAGACTTATTCTATTCTGAATACGTAGATAATCTAAATATAAAATCTAGATGCAGTCATAATTTTTAAATTCAAATCAAATTTTATATTGAAATTATTTAAATTTAAATCTTAAGTCTAAATTCTAAAGTCTTTTTAATTCCTTATACGGTAATACACAAAGAATTATCCAAATTCTAAATTAAATTTCACATAGGAATTATCCAATTTAAATCTTAAATCAAATTTCAAATGCCTTTTAATTTTTTATACGGGTATATACTAAGAAATTATTCAAATCCCAAATTAAATTCCACATAAGAATTATCTAAATTCAAATTTCAAGTCAAATTTTTAAAGTTATTTTAATTTCTCAGACGGTCATATACCTAGGAATTATCTAAATACAAATTAATTTAAAATAAAATCATCCAAACATAAGTCCCAATTCTAGATTCGAATTACAAGTGGTTTGATCACTCAACGGAGTATGTAGGCAACTCTGTCAAATTCATGGAGTTCAGCTTCCCAAATTCTAAAACAAAAATTATTAGAATTTACCGTTTTAATTATAATTAAAATGTTTTCTTTTGTACTAAATGATTGTATTTAAGAGATTATTCTTATAATCTTAAATGAATCGAACTAAAAATAATAAACTTATATGTTAATTATATTTTAATATAGAAGAAATTATGTTGCACGTGAAATATTATTATTAAATATTTTTGCTGAACAAAACTAAAACCTAAACAAAATCCTAAAACCTCAAACTAAGAATATTTGTCCCTCTTTTTTTTTTTTTTTTTTTTTTTTTTTTTTTCTTTTTTTTTTTTTACTAAATGGCTTTTGGGTGGCAAAACCCCAAACAAAAAAATTTTTTCCCCTTTTTTTTTTTTTTTTTTTTTTTTTTTTTTCCTTTCTTTCTTTTCACTAAATGGCTTATGGCTGCTCTGGTTCGTGGAGCTCAACAAAAGAGATGGGAATGGGCTCACCAAAAGCCTTGATTAAACGCACCAAGGAGAGAGAAGCAAAAGAGCTACGGATGCTTTGAACACGTGGCGATACGCGAGTGGGCAGCTGGGAGTTGCTGGAGAAGAGTGGGGGACAGCTTGGATTCGAATTCTAAAGCCTTTTTCTTTGCATATTTTACCCCACTTTTCACACTTTAATCCCTCCGTCGTCAAATTACTTTCACAAATGAGATAAATAATTATTTTAGAAGGGAAACTAAAATAAAATAAAATTACACAAAAATAAAATAAAATAAAACGAAATCAAATCAAAATAGAATAAACTAAAAATACACAAAAATAAGCTAAAAACAAACCTAAAATCTCAAGAACCTAGCTAGATTAAAAGCTTGAAAATGCTAAGATGACTCTATTTTATAGAGTTATCATTAAATCTAATGTAATTTTCAAGGACAACATGTTTGATTGATACAAAACTCTATAGCCACACACACACACATATATATCCTTATCCAGAAACTTGAGATCGCTACCTTTTTAACTAGGCTAGCTTTGTGGGAAAGGAATATATGTTTAAAGAATGACAACTATGAATCTCGAGAGTCTCCAATGATGCGCAACCATCTAATATACTTCGTATTTCATCAAAAAGGAAAAAAAAAAAAAAAATCTAATATACTTATTGAACTTATTATGTGTTGGATCATCTCGCTAAATAGATTTGAATTTATATTGCATGTATATCTCAAATGAAATATATATAAAAAAAAATCATAAAATTATTGTAAATTTTCTCGTAAACAATTAAAACAAATAGAATTATAAATAATCTAACTATAAACTAAGCATTATGACACACATTTTCATTTGTTTAGTTTATGTATTAGTATAAAAAAATTTGTATTTTGTTTATCAATTGAAATTTAACAACTGTGTATCATGTATAAACAAAGTTGATAAGTTACTCGCGATTTCTTTTCCCTTTTTTTTTTTTGGATTGAGTTACTTGAGATTTCTAATGATATGGTCTCATATTAATAGTGCATTATCGATCGTTAAATCTGATAAAATTATATTAAAATAAAATATATACATGTATAAATAGAGTCTGTTGCTGATATTGATTTAATAGCTAAACAAATAGACAACAATAACTTATTTTTTAAGTCTTATAAAAAATAATCTCTTATTTCTTAGGAACAATTTTCCTTTTGGAAAAGTTTAATTTCGTTTCCAAATGAATAATTTTCAATTGATATGGGCTAGAAAGAATACTGACATCACTAAAAAATTGATTCCAACTTCTCGTTGCTCTTTTTGAAAGGGATGGCTCTTTGTCTTTTCAAACAAAAGAGTTTTTTACTTACGACCGTGTTCTTCCGATCCCGCCACCAATGTTAACTAGTTGCCAATTACGGATGGTGTTGACTAACTTGGTGGTTGCCATCCACACTTCAAACGCTAATAAAGTTGAGTTCACTCCAAAATAGAAAAAGAAAAATATGGTGTTTTGTGTCTTGTAGTTTAGAATTTTATTTGTATTTGAAATTCATTAGAGCACGTTATTATTACAAATATACATCCAAAATATTAAAACCTAAATAATTACAGGCATACCAAATCTATACCTAACTCTATGACAAGATGTCGGAGACGTTTGGGTCATGGATTAAAATTATTTTTAATTTACATGTATTTTTTATGAAAGAAAACACTGAAACGAATCATAAACCATAATATGAATACTCCAACTAAACATCCCCGTAGAGTTTGAAATTTTCCCACCCATAAATTCAAAAAATGAAAAAGAAGATATCGAGACCTAGGGATTGAGAAACTATTTAAAAGTAAAAAATTATGGGGCCGTTCAGTTCTCTAATTCGAGTTTTTAATTCGAGTTGAGATGTGACTTTATGTGAGAGCTTTTTACTATAACAAAAAAGTTATATGTAACTGTTTCTGAGAGTTTTTTACTGTAATAAAACTTGAATTTTAAACTCAAATCGGTGAAATGAACGGAGCCTATATGACTCTATAATCTCTATTTAAATTTCTTTTAAAGAGTCAAGAATCATCATTGGGCAGCCAACAAAAAAAAAGATTTGTAGGAAAATCATTAACTCCGACGAGCACCCCGACGCACCCTCGTGCCTGCCTCAACCCTTGACCCACCTCGTGCCTGGCTCTGTCACAGCTGCCACAACTCCCCTGTCGTAGCCTCATTTCGTCCTTTCGCTTTCTATGTGTTCTAAAAGTATGAGAAAGATGCTGATACTGATCTGAGGAAGGTTGAGTGGCAAGATTTGAGGGAAGGTCGGGGTGGGGTGCTGCCAGTGGCGGAAGAGGAGAGTTGGCAGACAATGGGGGATGGGGCGAGCGGGAGGAGGGGCGATGGATGCGATCTCATAATTGAAGTGTGTGTGTGTGTTTTTTTTTTTTTTTTTTTTAATGTTTTGTTTAATTTTAGATTTTTTCATTTTATGTTTTTTAAATCTTTTTAATATCTTTTATGAAACTTAATTATGGAGCAAATTAAATTGAAGAGTAATAAAGACATTTTATAAACCAAAAATCACTCTTGGGGTACTAAAAATACATTTTCAAAAATATTAAAATACAACTTTAAGATTATAAAAAACACAATATTTTACTATAATATAAGATACCAAATTGATTTTATCTTATACTTAAATAATGTTATTCTCAAAAAAAGAATACCCAAATGAGATTTTTCAAACAAATAAGATAGACAAATAATTCGATAGTGATAGCTGCCACAACCTAGCTGCAAATTCCACGCACCCCATTCATCAAAAACATAAAATAGTAATAATTTGACAAGCTGTCAAACAACTCCTAATCTCCCATGTCGCATGATTATAAAAATACAAGAAGACTAATCAACTAGCTAAAAACGAAAGGTAGCAAATGGCAATACTAACTCCTCATAAATTCCTCACCCACCCCTCCCTCCACATGGCCTGCCTAACCACCGACGTCTATCATCCAATCTCTCAATCTACCTTTTTTACGCACCTAACTTTTCACGGACGTCCACGTCTTCACCTCCGCCATTGCCTTAAACCTCCAAAATCTCCATATAAACCCTTTGGATTACTATTCGCCTCTACACTTATAATTGGCAAAACGACACCTTCCAAAACCAACGTCCTCAACAAAAACCGAACCCAAATGGCTCTTACGACAGTCGCCGGAGTTCAGGTCGAGATAGCCACGTTCCCGCCGGCGGCGACGCCTCCGGGCTCCGACAAGACTCTGTTTCTTGGCGGCGCAGGTGAGTGTAAAGCGTGATTTGTAAAGTGTTAAAAGTGGAGACGACGGTTTTTTGTTTCTTTGTCGTTTTCACATTTATTGTTAAGTCAACGGGTGATTTTCTAACGTGGCGTAGGTGCGAGGGGTTTGGAGATCCAGGGGAAATTCGTCAAGTTCACGACGATCGGAGTTTACCTGGAGGATAACGCCGTTAAGTGGCTTGCCGGTAAGTGGAAGGGGAAGTCGGTGGAGGAACTGACGGAGTCCGTCGAGTTCTTTAGAGACATCGTAACCGGTATGTAATTTATCTATTTTAAGATTTTTATTTTTTTATTTTTCTGATCTCATATTATATTAGTAGCACACATTTTTTTACGGTTAGATACGATAAAAATCACATTAAGAAAAAAGCATATCAGGCGGAATTTTACGTCAAAAAACAGAGTCCTATTGACTCTGCGTGTTTTTCAGATCCTACGGTAGAAATCTCTTTCTTTTTAATGTTAATGTTCGATTTTTTTTAGGCCCATTTGAGAAGTTTACCAGGGTGACGATGATATTGCCGTTAACGGGGCCACAGTATTCGGAGAAAGTGTCGGAAAATTGCGTGGCAATCTGGAAAACTTTGGGGATTTACACTGACGCAGAGGAGAAAGCCATTGAAAAGTTCATTGAAGTTTTTAAAGATCAGAATTTCCCGCCAGGATCCTCTATTCTCTTCACACAATCGCCCACCGGTTCCTTAAAGGCAAGTAAATTTATGCTTTCTTCAATAGTTCTCAAGTTTCTGTTACGTTGTTTCCCTCATAAAAATTCTAATTCAACTTTTATTGATACAATTTTTCTTTCAAATAAATTCACTTTTTAATCAACAAGACGTGTTGTTCTTTTCAAAGGCAAAATAATCAAATTTATATCATTGATTTAGTATGATATATAGGCGCTCCAACTTTTATGTAGTGGTCTTTGATTTGGGTCACATCCAACACAGTAGGCGCATTACATGACGTCCTAATATTTGTCAATTTTACACATTTTAACTCCCAAGTGATTATGTAGATGGCGAGGTCTAATTTGAGGAGCTGAGATCTGTTGTTTCCATATCTCTATCTCATTAGTTGCCCTTCTATTATTTTATTTCTTTGCCATCAAAATTTGACAACTTAGATGTTGCAAAATTTTTCATAAGTGCACGGGTCGCAAAAGTAATAAAGTGACTAAAAAATCGAATATTGTTCCACAATGATTGAATTTTTGAGAATTAAATTAAGTATTGTGAGTGTTCGTGACTAAATTTTATCTAAGCAAAATCGAGTGAATTAAGTAATTGAAGCAAGAAAAGTAAATTAATTTAATTATTAAAGCTAGAACACAAGATCTAATAAAATAAGTAACTAAATATCGAAACTATGAGTGGAAATAACAATAATAATAGAGTTCTAGAGTCTTGACTTTGCTTCGCTCTCCCTATGTCTTCCTATTTAGTGGTTGCTAATTAATTTAACTCAATTCATTAATCTAAAGTTTCTAAATTAGTCTCACTACCTCTCCTGAGCGTCAAGTAAGACAACATGTGTAAATAAACAAGCCAATATCCCTATCTAACTTGGCTATAAACACATTCATCATGCTCAACCTTTCAATGATTATCTAAGCATTTGATCACCTCTCGGTCTCACAATTACCAAGATTCTCATAATGATTACTTACGTGTTGATCACTTTCCCGTCTCACAACAACATTAGATTTTGTTTCCTATATTGATATTCTAACTAATCTCTCCCGAGCATCAACCCAAATATCAAAGAAACTAGTCTATTTAATATTTATATTTATTATTTATAGATAAGGTTGTAAATATTTATAGATAAGGTTGAGATTATTTAATATTTATAGATAAGGTTGTAAACGGCCTGCTTCGATTTCAAACCATTGTTTCGGTTGGGGAAAATTCAAACAAAACAAGACCGTTGTGTAGAAGGAAACCAAATTAGTGCAGGCTGTTTGTGATCCGTTTCGTTTCCAGTGTCTCCTACGCTGATGAAAAGTTGCTATAGTTGGTCAACTCTCCCTACGTTCTTCTTTTTTTAATAAAAAAAAAAATGATATGAAAGATTTTCCAAAACAACGAAAATATGAATCCTTACAATTGATCTACTTTGGTGGGTATAATCATTTATGCATTATTTCAATAGTACTCTGTATCTGCCCTTTACAAGGCAGGAAAAGACTTTGCATTTTTTTGAACACCCGATCAGTCTTTTTAACTCTTTTTCTTGTTTTTCAATATAGATAAGCTTTTCCAAAGATGAATCCATACCAGAAAAAGAGAATGTTGTTATAGAAAACAAACTACTTTCGGAGGCGGTTTTGGAGTCGATTATTGGAAAGCTTGGAGTTTCTCCTGCTGCAAAGCAAAGCATTGCTTCAAGGCTAGCGGAATTGCTTAAAGAGACAAAAGACTGATGACCTGCCCTGCAGAAAAAATTAGAGAAAATGTTAGGTGGAGGGAAAGTGAAACGGGACGTCTAACAAGGAAGTTGAAGTGGAAACGGAAAAATTGTGTGAGAAAGAAAGGAGAAATGAAATTCCACATGAATACTGTGCGTTTTTTCTGGAACCTTTATTTTTGGATCAACGTTAATAAGCGAAAGCATATTGTTTGTGTTTTTGTGTTTTTAATCAAATATTGAACCCATTAGAGTTAATTTCATGCATTTTCTCGTTCAGTACTTACAATGGAGAAGAAATACACAAGAAACATGACAGATTGTGTTCTGCGAAGGGCTATACAATCTTTTATTTTTTATTTTATTTTATTTTTTTATAATTTCATCTTCTTGTCAAGAGTATTGCAGCACCAAGAAACTTCCAATAACTCACCGAATAAACGATTTTTTTTTCCTCTTTTCCTATGGAATATGTAACGTCAGATTTGGAGGGGGAAAAAGGGAATGGCACTCTTGTAAACAAGATTAAAAGAAATAACTTTGTATTAAGTTAGTTTGTTTGAGAAAATGAGGATGCCACATATCAAAAGACAGTAGCAACTAGCATCTGAAAAAAAGTTTGTAATAGGATCTGTATTTAGCACTCCTCTATTTACGAATAAGGTTGTGCACAGCATGCTCTGATATCAAACCTCTGATTTGGTCAAACCAAAACTTTGGTTTGAGAAAATTTAAACAAAATGAGACTGTTATGTAGGGCACCAATGCGCTTTGTTTTTCCACTTCTCCTACGACGCGAAAAAGTTGCTATAGTTGGTCAACTATACCTACATTTTTTTTTTTTCAAATATGAAAGATTTTGCAGTTAAAAAAATTGAAAGATTTTAAGTTTAAACTACTGGGATTTTGTCCAAGTATAGTGATCTTCATTTTTAGACTCCTGAATGATTCAACTTAATCATTTGTGCATTATGTCCTAAGAGTATTCTGTATCTGCCCTTTACCCGGCAGGAAAATACTTAGCATTTTTTAACACCGGACTAGTCTGTCTAAGTCTCTCTCTCTCTCTCTCTCATGACATAGATAAGTTTATCCAAAGATGAGTCCATACCAGAAAAGAAAACGCTGTTATAGAAAACAAACTACTTTGTGAGGCTGTTTTGGAGTCGATTATCGGAAAACGCAGAGTTTCTCCCGCTGCTAAGCAAAGCCTCACTTCAAGGCTAGCAGAATTGCTTAAAGACATCAACACTGATGACCTCCCCAATGGAGAAATTTACAGAGACACTTAAAAGGTGGAGGGAAGGTTAAACAACGTCTAACAAGGAAGTCGAAGAGGAAACGGAAAAAACGTGTGAGAAAAAGAGGAGAAATGGAATTCCGCACGAATAATGTGCGCTTATATTGGATTACTTTTAATAAGGGAAAGCAAATTGTGTGCGTTTGTGGTTTAATCAAACATTCAACTAGTTTAAAGTTAAAAATTTCATTCATTTTCTCGTTCAGCACCTAGCATAAGCAAATTGTTATCAAGCAGAATATGTTTTGCCAAGGGCTATACAATCCAACTTTGGTTCCTTTATGCATCCTTTTGTTTGGCGCTACGCACGTTCAAAGTTTTGAAGATAATTATAGTATTTTTCTTTGAAGTAGTTTAACATACATACATCTTTCTCAAAAAGGAAGGGAAAAAATAAAAATAAAAACAAAAACAAAAACATCTATGTACACGGGTTTTTTTTAGCATTTTTGTACCCTGAATTTTTTAGGTTTCAACAATTTGCCCTCAAACTGTTAATTTTGATGCTTTCTCCCTCAGCTTGTAAAATTGTTGTATCATTGCAATGTGTTACATTTACTAATGACCTTTAAATTAGTGAACAAGAAAGCCTATGATTGTCTCGCCTTTGACAAAAACACTCCAAATCTCAATTCGAACTCTAACACAAATCACTAATAAAATCTCCAAATCAAGCCCTAAATATGAGCCCAAAAAAAGTGAAAATGGGGCACATGTCAGCAATTTATAAAGTTAAGAGGATAAAGTGCCAAAACTAAAAGTGCAGAAGGGTAAGTTGTTAAAATTCAGAAAAAGGAAAAAGAATAATTGAGGGGCACAAGTGCTAAAAGCCTATATAATATAAATATAGTGTATTGTATCATAAGAAGACTCGAAACCATTATCACAGAGAGGTACAAGTTGAAGTCTACAACAATGTGAGATTATAACGAGGAATATTTGTAGGTTTCGTTTAACTGGCCGGTAAGTTGATTAACTTGATTTAACCCGAAGTTCTTTATGGATGGAGATTACGAGGAGGATTTAGATTTTTTTTTTTCCCTTTATAATCTGTGTTTTGAAAGGAAGCTCTGTACTACTTCCAATTTGCAATAAAACTTTCTCTCTCTCTCTGTTTTTTTTTTTTTTTTTTTTTGAAATTTTTGAATTTACATCCTTTCGTCATCCCTAAAATGAAGAAAAAAATTTGGATATCGCTGCTTCTTCTACTGGTTTTGCGTGTCTTCGTTGCTTATTCACTAGGTAAATTGGTTGTTGCCTGTTTTTTATCAATTGCTGGAAAAAATTACTTGTCTCAACTTTAATAATACTGATATATTGATTGCCAATATGTACCAACATCTTATCTCTACTATCGTTTCAACTTTTACCATTCATATAGTTTATCCGTCAATCTTCATGAGATAATTTAGGTTGTGTTTTGTAAGAGGAAAAGAAAATAAAGAAAATAGGAAGAACGTAAAGCGTATAATCTAGGTGAGAAAAATGAAGAGAAAAGAGACGAATTTATTGTTTTTAGTATGATGCCCCTATTCTAATCCCTCCAATAGTACGGGCGGAATTAAAGTTAGGAAATTTTTATTAAGAATTTAAAAATCATCACTTGTTCTTGCTTATCGAAAAAAAAAAATATATATCATCACTTGTTCTTCTCTCATCTTTTTCTATATCTCTTACTAAACGACCATAAGATCTCAAAATCAATCCACTAATCTCCCTCAATCATTTCCTTTTATATGGTATCTACCTTTTGAGCCCTATCTACTGCAATTGAGAATTTATACATAGCACCAATTGACGGATATTCCCTCTATATGACATGTCCATCACACATTTCTCTTGAGGCTATTTGCAATTTAAATCAAACGGCTATTTGCAATTTAAATCAAACGGCACATATGTTAAAGGCTGCATATCACGAGAGTTTTTCTTAGCGCGTAGCATTGTTACAGTCTTACACTTTATAAGTGTCATGTGATTTGAATCATATGATTGCAGTTAACAGCCAGCGGGTGCCCCATCTCTTATAGAAATATTGTACAATATATATGTATACATATATATATATATGTGTGTATATATATATGAATGTAGGAGTTACCAACCCCATAAGTAGAATTATGTTCTCAAATTTAAATTTTCCAAACACAAATATAATTACTAACTGCTTTGATCATATTCTATTGCCAAATGCAGATCTAAATTTCAGCACATGGTGGAACATAGACTGTGGCAATGACGTGGTAAGACCGCCGGATCTTGAAAAATTCCTATACTGGGATACAGATGAGGACTTAACACAATCGGGAATCAACGCACGGATCAACCCGACAACACAAGTACCAAAAGAGATGAACACCCTGCGATTCTTCCCTGATGAGGCCCAGAAAAATTGCTACAGTCTGCCCTTTATAAATTCCCAACGGTATCTTATTAGAGCAGGATTCTACTACGGTAACTATGATGCTCTCTCGAGTCCACCAACGTTCGATCTTTATCTTGATCAGAAAAAATGGTCAACCATCAATACGTCAATAATCGAAGGGTCGATATATCATGAAGCTGTTTATGTGACACGTGCGTCGGGGTTTCTAAGTCTTTGTTTGGTGCAGACGAAGGAAGGAGATGTTCCTTTTATTTCTTCAATAGAAGCTGTTCCCTTACCAAGTGATTTGTACTTTCATTTGGACACTAATTATAGTTTCATCTTGGTAACAAGGACCAACCTTGGTGGGGATGAAGTCAGGTATGCATTACTTTGAATCTTCTATTTTCTTCGTACTCTGAAAAAAGAAAAAAAAAAAAAAAAAACCTAAAATTTTTAACATATTATTTATGAGTTGTCAGTAGGGTAACGCTGAAACTAAATATTGATGAAGGAGAAAAAATAAAATCTAAATTGTTTTTATTGTGTAAAACAATTCAGATTGTGAATTTAGGGGAGGTCAATTCTAAAATTAATGTGCATAGAAGCCTAAAAATTAATGTAAGTACATTGTATATAAAATGGTAATAAATACATACATAAATATAAAATTGATATACATATTTTTCAAATTTAATACTTGGAAGATAAAAATGTCCTCAATATGATGAATTTTATATGTTATTTATTATTATTTCATTGTATTTAATTAATTATTAATTTGTATTTTTATTAGGCCCTAAAGGAATTCAAAAAAATTATTATCTTATGCATTTAGCGAGATTATTAATTTAATTTAGTGGCCCAAGTTGGGACTAAAAATGTTATTATTTAATCGAGATTATTAATTTATTGAACATTCATTTATTGAGATTTCACTGTATATATAAACATATTAATTTTGACTACATCGACTTTTTTTAAATTTATTTATAACTCATACATAAATTTTACTCAAAAGAATAATACATGTACCAAAATGACACATATAATTAATTTTGACTACATTAATAAATATTTATTTATTGATAAATTAATAATTTATTTATCGATAAATTAATAATCTAATTAAAATAATATTCTTTCTTAGTCCCAATAATATTATTTTATAGAGGTTTTAATGTATATAGCTATTTTATAGAAGATGGACTCAGATAGGTCTATTTGTTTCGTGAGTTAAATCACAATTCAAGCATTTTTCATTAAAAAAAAAAAAATTGTACAATTCAAGCAGGTACGTGGACTTTACATCTGATGAGAAATACAACCGAATATGGACACACGGAGAAATCCCATCAAACTGTATCAGTGTCCCTACCTTACCAGATATCTCTTTCACACTAGAAAACGAACCCCCAAACACTGTGATGAGCGATTCCATCCAATCACGCATTGCTACTAATCCAATAATCATGACCGTTGATCTCCCACCAAGGACCCCATACCCACAATTGGCTTACTTCATTTTCTACTTCAATGAAATAGCAGCCCTACCTGGCAACACCAGAACCATTCTGATTTACAGTGACGGTCAGATGAAGTCCACGGTGACAACAGAATTCATCAAGTGCAAGGTGGTGACCATCAAGGCAGTAACTGTAGCGGGCCCCACCATTAATGTAACACTGGGCACAACAGATGGCTCCACCTTGCCAGCTATTATTAGTGCAATGGAAGTTTTCATAAGGGGAGAATCCTACGGTGAGGGCCATGAGAAAAACTTGTCTTACACTACAGGGGATCATTTCTTTTCTGCATATGCCATGTTGATTTATTTTCTTTGGCTCATGTTGAATTAGTGTGAAAGTTAGAAAAGTCCATAAAGTTTGTGGTCAAAATAAAATTATTAATTATGTATGTAAAGGGTAAAATCTAAGTAGATAAATCAAGGGCCAATGACCGAGTTAAGATCGTCGATTGGTGAAATTGATCCGTTGCAGGAATGAAGCCGTTAGTAAACGTGAAAGTAAATGAAAAAAGTAAAAAGACACAAAAAATTATAATGATTTCCCTGATAATGCATGGTACATCCATTGTAGGGCTCCCGTGGTTTCACTATGACTACTGAAAAGTGTCACAATGAATTGTTCTGAGTAGAACAGGATGAGAGAGAGAAAGGTATGCTAGAAAATACAGTAAATAATAGAGAAATATGCTATAAGTGGGCGTGAGAGCTTTTGTGTGCTGTGGAAGCATATCAAACTGTGTCCAAATGCCTTGTATTTATAGTTGATGAGGCTTTAAGAGTGGTTTCCTGATTTTCTAGCATAATATGACCTTTAATCTATGATATTCCTTTTCTTCTTAGGCGCTGCATGACTTTTCTTAACTGGTTCTGTCCATAAAAAACTAGTCAATCATGGTTTCTTGCCCATTTTGGGTTGATCCAGCCTCTTTATTGTCTGATTGCTAGATATATAATTTCCTTATGTGGAAGACAATCAATTTCATTTAATGAAAGGGTATCTTGCGGTCGTTGACCTTTTTCCTCATTAATTATTCTAGCTGGAGCAGTTGATTTCTTTCATTTTATGGCTGCTTTGTACTGCCTCTGAAATTGCTTTTTATACGTCAAATGCCCCAATAGGGAGGCCAACAAGAGTTGGCTGAGTCACGGCTGGTAGTCTGATCAACGACTGAAGAGTCGTGATTTGCACACCTGAAGAGGTGGCTAATGGATTGGTGACTGATGAAGGAGTCGATGAGTTGAGTGGCAATGTTCCAGCGGTTAATGAGGTGAGCGGTGTCACTAGGGAAGGTAGAGATGCCATGGGACATAACGAACTGTAAGGTGTGAAAACACCTGTAGTCCGTGTTCTGTCCATAGAAAAGGCGGAGGTCTCAATGACCCGCTAGGTGCTTTATTTATGGCGATTGCTTCGATGTGGGAAGCTTGTTAATTCAAAGACTTCTGCATAGCTTCAAGCATCTGTGACACCCTTTCCTCCATAGTTTCTTGTTGCTGAGATTCTACAGGTTGGTTGGTCGCCTGTTGAGATGATTCCCTGAGAGGGGTCGATCTATCGCTTGCAGGAGCGCTGGTGTTGCTTCTGTTCATAGCCTCGGATGTTTGGGGATCGATGTCGTCCATTTAGTCAGTCAAAGGCCCCACGGTGGGCGCCAAACTGTAGAGTGTAAAATCTACAATTAGGAAAATCAAGGGCAAATGACCGAGTTAAGAGTCACCAATTAGTGAAATTGATCTGCTGCGAGAACAAAGGCGTTAGTAAATGTGAGAGTAAATGAAAACAGTAAAAAAAAAAGATAAGGAATTATAGTGGTTCTGTAACACCCTGAAGAATTAATTGAAATTAATTAAGGTAATTGGGATTATTAGTGTGCCTAATATGATTTAATTAATTGAGTTTTGATTAATAAATGTTTCTGACGTGTGAGTTTAAATAGTTCCAAGGTATTTAAATTATTCTCAGTAATTTATGTTAACCCAGAAGTGTGTATGGGCGCATTTCTAGATTGTTGTTTTAAAATATTGTACACATGTCCTTTTCTTTTCCTTTTCCTTTTCTTTTCTTTTTCCTTTTCCTTTCCTTTTTCCTTTCCTTTCCCGTGCACCTCTCACTCTCTCCCACTCTCCCGTGCTCTCTCTCTCTCTCTCTCTCATTTTGTCCCAAATCAAACGGATCTTGAACCAAGAAAAAATTTAAAGAAGTTTTCAACGTCAAGAGAATGATTCGAGGTAAGATTATGTAGGATTACGTTGTGATTTTTAAGTGAAAAATCATTTAAACAACAACAAACTTGTAGGCGGAAATTTCAAAAATTTTCACATATCTTTTAATTCCAAATTAAACACAAATCACAACGAGAGGTATATGCATGATATATGTTTATGGACAAAGGAATAAAATGACAATCATACCTTTAAGACGATTGGATCAAATATGGCTGGAAGGATCTTGTCTCACTATCTCACGTTCTGAGATGGAGAATTGCCGTGAAACAAGACCGTTGATTTATGAACACAAACACACCAACAACCACTCGTTGATTCAAGACTATGACTCTTAGTATTTGGGAGAAGAGAGTGGGCTCTTTTTAAAAACCTAAGGAAACAAATTTTCCTTCTATTTTCAATACCAAAATCCGGCCACCCTAGAGGAGAGAATATGAGTGAGATATCTTTTTCTTAGCCACCACTAGGGTTTTCAATAATATCACTTTATAGGAGGAAATTCGAAAACTTAACCCTATATGGGATTTCTGAATTTTCCCCTTCATTTTTGGATCAAAATCCAAATTTCCACTTGCCAAGGAATTTCTGAATTTTCCAAAAATAAAATCAGCTCTCTCCCTCCTTAGTTGCCAAATAAAATCATGTTCAAATTTTATTTTGAATTTTAAATTAATCACCATTAATTTCAAAATTCAAATTCATTCCTTTTATTTTTCAATTATCAAATAAATGAAAAATAACATAATGAATTTATTTAAACATAATTATGTAACAAAACATCAGTTTCAATTTTCCCACTTATTAGAGCTAGCCTTGAGACCGAATGGACCCATATGAACAAAGCTATGGAATTACAATACTCGACTAATTTATCCCGATAAGTTATTGACGTATTTAATTCTGACATCGTACGACTCCACTAAAGGTTCGATGCCGACTAATCTCTCGATTCATATGCGCTAATTTTTCTGATGGTGTTAATACAATTTATCACATGGTCCACAGAATAAATGCACTATTATCCTTCGAACATATCAATGACTAGAATGGTATAGAAAATTACCGTTTTACCATTCCAGTCATTATTTCCTCAACTCCTTTATATGATTGCGAATAAGAAAGACATATGTTCGTGAGATGTCTCGCACATGTCATGATGTCTTAATCAATGAATACCATCATTGAATACCAGGCTTGGTTTGTTTATTCAAACCTATCAATAAAGCATGAGGTGATATTATCGCTTACGAATTCCATATCTGTGAATCACACAACTCCAAATCAATTATGTCATGATCCCAATAGCCGAGATGTTGTTCAAAAAACTATGAACTAATCTCATTGGTGAATCAAATACCATGAGAAATTAAGTCGAGTTATGTATTCACTTCAGGATTGAGATAGTTACGCAAATATACTTAGGTTGTAATAATTAGGTTTAGAGCTCTGTAAACAGTTTTTGCTATAATCTAATTAGTTACAAGGTCTAATCAACATGTTGTGAACATGTCTAGATCAACCACAGAGTCCAACTCCCATGCCCCGAGACCAGCATCACATGGTTCGATCTAACAGTCATAATCAGATTCGATTGCCCAATCGATCCTAAGACTGCGAATATTAATTTTAAACTATATCAGAAGAGTTTGTCTGGCATGGATTCCCTGACTCTTCTTTCATTGATAACAGTCTATGGACTAAGCAATATCACTAACACTCTTGAATATGAATCAAAACATAACTTTATTTTATTTATAAACGTCAGCAAAATAATGATGTCCGACATTTGCCATTTCATAAATAGCAAATTACACCCTACTTTATGGACACATTTCCAACAAACTCCCACTTGAACTTTAAGTAGGTGTGTACAATCTCGCATCCCCAAACCCTCCAGATGACTATCGAAGACTTTACCAGATCCTTTGTGAATGGATCAGTCAAGTTGTCATGTGTTGATATCTTTGTCACTTCAACATCGCCTCTTTGCACAATCTCCCGGATGAGGTGGTACTTCCGCTCTATGTGTTTGGACCTCTTGTGGCTTCTAGGCTCCTTAGAGTTTGCTACAGCTCCACTGTTATCGCAATACAGTACCATGGGCCTATCAGCATCCGGAACAACTTCCAGTGATACAAGGAACTTCTTAAGCTATACGGCATCTTTTGCAGCTTCACAAGCTGCCAAATATTCGGCCTCCATGGTGGAGCCAGCTATGTAAGTTTGCTTAATACTCCTCTATACCACTGAACCTCCATTCAGGACAAAAACTGATCCTGAAGTGAATTTCTTGGAATCCTTATCCGATTGGAAATCAGAGTCGGTGTATCCCGTCATAGTCAGGTCAGTACCTGAGTATACAAGCATATAGTTCCTCGTTCTCCTACGATACTTGAGGATATGTTTGACAGCAACCCAGTGCTCAGGTCCAGGGTTAGACTGGAATCTACTCACCACGCCTACCGCGTAGCATATATCAGGTCTGGTGCAAAGCATCGCATACATGAGGCTTCCTACGGCTGAAGCGTAAGGAACTCGGCTCATGTCATCCTCTTCCTGAGGAGTTTTCAGAGACTGCTCCTTTGAGAGGGATACTCCATGTCTGAAGGGTAAATAGCCCTTCTTGGAGTTCTGCATGGTGAATCGGTCCATTACCTTATCGACATAGGATGCTTGAGACAGTGCCAATTGTCTGTTTTTCCGATCTCGAAAGATTTGAATTCCCAGAACATAGGCAGCTTCTCCTAGATCCTTCATATCAAACTGCTTTGCAAGCCAGAGCTTAACCTCAGTTTGTCTTCCTACATCATTTCCAATGAGCAATATGTCATCTACATATAAGACTAAGAAAACCACTTTGCCTTTTTGTATCAACTTATACACACAAGGCTCATCAAACGACTGTATAAAACCATATGTTTTAACAGTCTCATCAAATCTGCTATTCCATGATCTGGATGCCTGCTTTAGTCCATAAATGAACTTTTGCAGTTCACAAACCTTTTCTTCTCGACCCTTTTCAATGAATCCATCTGGTTGAGCCATATAGATGCGCTCATCCAGGTTGCCATTCAAAAAAGATGTCTTCACATCCATCTGCCAGATCTCATAATCTAAGGCAGCAGCAATGGATAGAAGAATACAGATGGATTTAAGCATAGCCACCGGAGAGAATGTATCCTCATAGTCAATTCCTTCTTTCTGGGTGTAGCCCTTGGCTACCAGCCTAGCTTTGAATGTCTCCACATTCCCATCTGGACCCCTCTTCTTCTTGAAGATCCATTTGCATCCCACAAGTTTTACCCCTTCAGGAGAATCTACCAGAGTCCATACATCATTCTTATACATTGATTGTATTTCGACGTTCATGGCTTCATGCCATAGGTTTGCTTCAGAACTTGCCATAGCCTGTGAGTACGAGATAGGTTCATCAATGTCTAAATCTGAGACTGCAATCAGTGCATCTCCATAAGACATGTACCTAACTGGTTGTCTCACAACCCTCCCACTACGTCGAGCCTCTATTGGTGTTAGTTCCTGTTGTGGTTCATTTGTTATCGGTTCAGGAATAGAACGTGGAGATGCTACACGAACATTTTCACTGGTCAATTCCTCAAGTACAAGTCTGCTTCTAGGCTTCATATTCTTCACAAAATCCTCTTCCAGAAAATGAGCATTCGTACTAACGAATGTTTTCTGATCGGCAGGACTATAGAAGATGTAGCCTTTTGTCCCTTTAGGATATCCTACAAACAGGCATAATTCTGAACGACTGGTCAGCTTGCCAGTCTTCTTTCTAAGCACATGTGCTGGACAACCCTATATTCTGGTGTGGCCAAGAGATGACTTCTTGCCACTCCATCTTTCATATGGAGTTCCAGGCACTACTTTAGACGGAACTTTATTCAGACTATATGCAGCTGTTTCCAAAGCATACCCCCAAAAGGAATCAGAAAGGGATGAGTAACTCATCATTGATCTAACCATATTTAATAAAGTTTAGTTCTTTCTTTCTGACACGCCATTCTGCTGAGGAGTACCTGGCGCAGTCAGTTGAGAAAATATACCTTCTTCCTTAAGAAAGTCTTCGAACTCTCCCAACAAGTATTCACCACCACGATCGGATCGTAGTGTTTTGATATGTTTGTCTAATTGCTTTTCAACCAAGGCCTTGAATTCTTTAAACTTTTAAAAGGTTTCAGACTTTTGACGCATTAGATAAATATGACCAAAACGAGAATAGTCATCAGTGAAGGCTACAAAATACTCATATCCTCCTCTTGCTTGCATATTGAATGGCCCACATACATCACTATGTATGAGTTCTAGGCATTCATCAGTTCTCTCACCCTTTGCAGAAAAGGGTCTCTTGGTTATTTTTCCTTCAATGCAGGATTCACATGTAGGTAGTGAGCCTACACTTAAGGTTTGTAAGGGACCGTCTCTCACTAACCTTTTAATCCTGTCAAGGCTAATATGTCAAAGACGTAGATGCCATTTGTAGGTTTGATCTGTTGGGTCTAACCTCAACCTTTTACTATCCTTAATTGAATCATCATTCAACTCAGTATCATAAATTGTTGGAATAATCGGTTTGACGTAGAACAGATTGTTTATCATGACTGTAGAAGTAATCATGAAACCATTCTTAAGAATCTGAATAACATCATTATTGAATCCTAAAGAATATCCTTGCTCAACCAAATGAGCTACAGAAATAACATTTTTCCCAAAAACCGGGACATAATAAACATTGTTCAAAACAATAAAACTGTTCTCAGAAACTAATTTAATGCTTCCAACTGATATAGCCGATACTGATGCTCCGTTCCCCCAGCGAAAGTTAAACTTGCCCTTGCTAAGCCTTTTGCTTTCCCTGAACCCCTGCAGAGAACAACAAACATGATTAGTGGCTCCAGAGTCTACAATCCAAGAAAAAGTAGAGTCAGCCACAAAACAGGCTTCGGTCACAAGTAATGTACCTTTAGCTTTAACCTCCTTGAGGTAAGTAGGACAGTTGCGCTTCCAGTGGCCAGCTACTCCGCAATGGTGACATTTGTCATTACTCTTGTCTACCTTTGCAACGTTCTTGCCCTTTCCAGCTTTTCCTTCCGGTTTCTTCTTGTTGCGGTTTTTCTTCTGTTTCTTGGCGCCAGAGGTGGAAGGCTTTGCTTTAGTAAGGTTTACCTTTCCATTCCTCTTTTTGCCTTTAAGCAGTAGGGTTTCCGCAGTCTGAAGCTCTTTCATGAGTTCAGGGAGTGAATAGTTCAACTTATTCATTGAGTAGTTGAGCTTGAAGTTGTTGAACATCTCCGGGAGAGTCTCTAGGATCATATCCACCTGAGTCTCCCAATCTATCTCAGCTCCCATGAGCTCCATCTCATTCAAGTGACTTATAATCAATAGCATATGGTCCCGAACAGGAGTGCCGGATTTCATCCGGCAGTTCATAAAGTTACGCACCGCAGCTTGCTTGGCTTGATGGCCCTGGCTGCCGAACATTTCAGTAATGTTGTAGATCATATCTGCAGCTGTCAGCATGTTTTGATGCTGCTGCTGTAACACATTGCTAATTGATGCTAATATATAGCACCTAGCAATCTCATCGGAACGCATCCAAGAAGTGTATGCGTTTCGCTCCTCTTGAGTAGACTCCTTAGTCTTTCTTCTGTTTCTTGGCGCCAGAGGTGGAAGGCTTTGCTTTAGTAAGGTTTACCTTTCCATTCCTCTTTTTGCCTTTAAGCAGTAGGGTTTCCGCAGTCTGAAGCTCTTTCATGAGTTCAGGGAGTGAATAGTTCAACTTATTCATTGAGTAGTTGAGCTTGAAGTTGTCGAACATCTCCGGGAGAGTCTCTAGGATCATATCCACCTGAGTCTCCCCATCTATCTCAGCTCCCATGAGCTCTATCTCATTCAGGTGACTAATGATCAGTAGCATATGGTCCCGAACAGGAGTGCCGGATTTCATTCAGCAGTTCATGAAGTTACGCACCGCAGCTTACTTGTCTTTACGGCCCTGGCTGCCGAACATTTCAGCAATGCTGTAGATCATATCTGCAGCCGTCAACATGTTCCGATGTTGCTGCTGCAACACATTGCTAATTGATGCTAAAATGTAGCACCTAGCAATCTCATCGGAACGCATCCAAGAAGTGTATGCGTCTCGCTCCTCTTGAGTAGACTCCTCAATCGGCTCAAGAGGACAGAGGGTGGTGAGCACATGCTAGTGCTTGTCTACCGTCAACACGATATCAAGGTTACATTTCCAGTCAACGTAATTTTCACCCACTAGTTTGTTTGTACTAAGAATTTGTGCGATCGGGGATAAAGACATAATTGCTGAGAAATAAAATGAAAGCGGCCTTGGCAATTTGCTTAAAATTTAGGAAAAGTATGATGCATGTATGCAAATACTTAAATATGAAAAAAAATCCTTTTGAAAAACATATTTCATCCAAGGTGTTACGATCATCAATGGTAACACGTCCCACCTAGGGGTGGCGTCCGTGAAGCCTCCTATCGCATTGAGACTCCTCTCGTTTGGTCCACCTTACAGGATGTCTCCACATCCAGTGCAACCAATCACCATCTTTTTGGTCACTTCAGTCCCATTGCCTAGCTCCTAAGGGAGGTTACAATGGACTTCAGTCTAAGTGTTTAACCGACTAATCGACTCTAGAGGTTGTTATGAACTAACGATCCATCTAGGGATGGTCTCGCCTCACTACTTCCTCTTCGAGTCTTATCTTCTCAAGCAACCTGATGACTCCTTAGTGACACGCTTCGTGGGGTTCTCCCATTGAAGTGAGGACCACTAAGGTGGCTCTTAACCCATCCATGTGTGACGATCAGGCTAAAGTCGGAGACCTTGGGAACGTTTCAATGCAAACGACCCTCCCACTTAGTTTTTTGGAAAAATGGATTTTGTTTTTAAAAATTAAGTCAAATTAATAATTTGTCAACAAAATTATAACCTTTATAAATTTGTCATTGCATTTTATAACACTTTACAAAATGTACCCATTGCATTTATAATTATAACAATTTATAATATTAAACTACAATGATGCATGAACATGTTCGCATGGCAATTTGATATTGGCATCACTATATCCTATATGGCATGTTTTGCAATGATGCGAGATTAAATAATAAATCATCCATTCAAAATTTAACCTCTCTATGGCTTATTTCTAATTACAACCCACAAAACAAATGAATAATAAATTACAATAATATTCTTCATCTTGTCTTCATGGCGTCTTCACAAATTTCCTCTTTCATAATCCCTGAAATGGAAAATGTTTTGAAGAAAGAGAAAATAAAAATAAAAATTCAAAATTTAAATAAAAACCCTTTTTTTTAATTTATTGATTCAGGCTGGGCTCGGGACAATCCCGAGCCCACCCTTTCTGCCTAGGCAGGGCCAGGCCCTGCCTTGCGCGGCATGGGCTACCAAGCCAGGCAGCCCTTGCACGTTGCGCATGGGCCACAGCCCTTGCTTGGGCAAGGCCTGCGGCCCCTGCCTAGGTAGGGCCTGCAGGCCCGTCAGGGTTTCAGAAAACCCTGGCGCACGCTAGGGTTTCTGAAACCCTAGTGTGCCGCCCAGCCAAACCCAGGGGAGGGGCTGGTGGCTGTGCGTGGCTGTGCTAGTGACGGAGGTAGGGCTTCGTGCGGCGGCGGCAGCGGCGACGATGGCGGCGGCGACGGCACTCAAAAAAAAATTTCTAGAATTTTAAATTACAAAATTTCCTATGCCCTTTAATGGCTTACATCATTTTCTAAAGAAAAATATAAACCACTAAACTTGCGTAATTAAAAACCTAGAGCCAATCGATCGGGATCCAATCATAAATATATCCAAAATAATTTTGAATTCATCACATATTCATGCAAGATGCCAATATCAACACATATCATACAATCCAATTGCATAAACACAAATCATGCATGATCAAAACCTAGGCTCTGACACCAATTGTAGGATTCGTTGTGATTTTTAAGTGAAAAATCATTTAAACAACAACAAACTTGTAGGCATAAATTTTAAAAATTTTCACATATCTTTTAATTCCAAATTAAACACAAATCACAATGAGAGGTACATGCATGGTATATGTTTATGGACAAAGGAATAAAATGACAATCATACCTTTAAGACAATTGGATCAAATATGGCTGCAAGGATCTTGTCTCACTATCTCACGTTCTGAGATGGAGAATTGCCGTGAAACAAGACCGTTGATTTATGAACAC